ATTGAGTCGGCTGTGCTATTTGCTTAGACATGATCTGACCATGCTCTACGCTGGATCCGTCCAGATGTCAACAATTGCCGCGTGTGATGAGCAACAATGGATGGATCTAGATATCTGCAGTCACATCTCACAGCCTTCCCTCTATGCCTATCCCCGACCAGGACTCCACGCCCAGACGGACTGTCTGCCGGGGGTTTGGGGGCTCTGTCGGTAGTGGCGTTAGCGCCTACTGGGGGCGTGAGACCACTAAGCCCAGCCTGGAGTCACCCTGCCGTCATGGCTTCTCTCCAGTGAGACGAAGCTGATTAGGGCGGCGGCAGGAGAGCTGGAAATGGATGGCTTGGATCAGGATGACTCTTTACGCTGATGACTCTTCCACGGATCCATCTCATCATCGTCATCCCTCAGTTCAACTCCACTATCTCCCACGCGACAAACAGACGCTGGGCGTCAGCTTGACTCATCGAGGTTGATACACGATCCTAGACAAATACCTCTACGTTGCACTTCGATTTCCAGAGGTACTTTCTGCCCTCACTCCCTCTCGGCTCGCCTGCCACTACCCATTAGAGAGAGGCAGCTTCTTCCCCGGGCATGCCGAAGAAAAGAAACCACATCAGGTCCTTCAAGCCAACTCCAGCGGCTTTTCCGACAGCCTCTTCATCTGGCAGCTCTGGTAAGCTCATCCATCCATCCATCCAGTCCCCTTTCCCCCTTGGCTTCTCGCCACACGCACCGCACGGCACCGCACACGCCCCTCCTGTGCTCGCCCGAACCCCCGGCCACCTCTCGGCTTGCTTCCTTTCGAACCCCTCCCCAGATACCTCAGGACCGCGTGGCAGCCAGAGTCTCACAAGTTGTGCTCAGCAGACAAGCCCTCCCGAAGCGTCAACGAGCTCCTAGCAAACCTACGTCGTACCTCGACTGGCCCCTCCGCCGCCGGTGCCGCCGCCTCCCCGTCAGCCCTGCCTGCAACAGCTCCGAGCGTGCCCCCCGCCATCAGAGAGATCCTCCAGATCCCCGAGACGCCAGCCCCTGCTCCCCGACACATCACTCGACAGAGATTCGACGGCCATGGTAGAAGGCTCCCTGCTGGTCCTCCTCCGCCGGGGAGCTGGGTCTCCCGCGGCCCCGCGGATCCCTCTGCTGAGGCCTCCTCAAGCTCCTCACGGTTGAGCCAGAGGGGCCTGCAAGATACCTGCCTGCCGGGGACCTACCTCCCTTCCCGTGGGAGTATGATAGATATCGTTTTGCGGAAGCTCGCATGCGACTGGAGCTTCCACCGAGTCTACAATCAGTACCATCTGTACTTTGTGCCCAACCATCTCAAGTCAGCCCTGATCCGCTACGTCGGAATCGCGAGCGAGGACGGCTTGTCCATCAGTGATCTCAAGATCATTCTGCTGCCGCCGCCGGATACCTTTGATGAGGATGAGTTGGATGAGCTGGCTACTTCAAACCTAGAGGTCAACTATCTTGATCTATCGGGGTCCATTGGCCGTTCGATGAGATTAAAGGATATCAGTGACTTGCTGTTTCCCGTGAAGGAGCAGGAACCCGCGTCAGAGCTTCAGGAGTCCTGGGACGCAGCCGAGGCGATCCCCAGCCCTCCTCGGACTTTGCTGCCCAACCTCACCCACCTGTCGCTCGCCTTGCATCCTCAACATGCCTCGTCTGCATCCTGGAGGCAGCTCATTTCGGTGTCCTCCAAGCTCACGACGCTCACCCACCTTAGCCTCGCGTACTGGCCCGAACCGTGCTTTACGCCACGGGCTCGCATGTCGACGGTGGCCACTCCCCAGGGGGGCCAGATTCCCTACGGCGGCACGAATCTGTACTCCCATTCGCTCGATCACGACTGGAGCGAGGCGTTGCTCGTATTGCGCATGTTTAGTAGGAATCTATACGCGCTCGAGTTTCTGGACCTCACCGGTTGCTCACCCTGGTTCAAGGCCCTGTGTGCTGAATCTGGCCATGACTTTGTCAATTGGTCCGACAGCTGGGGCAAGATCACTGAGCTTCGGCTCTACACGGGATGGACCCCTGGTCCGGATGCCTTGCCTTCTGAGCAAGCGAGTTTCAGGGAATCTATCGAGATAGCCAAGAGCGTGGCGAAACACGTTCGAACGATGAGGGCTGGCAAGGGGCGGTTTATTGCTGTAGAGCACGACCATCTAGACACATAGAACACAAATCTGAAATACAACAACATAATTAATCATCTGATATGGTCTACGTCTACCAATCCCGAGAGTTGGTCTTGACTTGGGACAGGGTCTCGAGTGTGCTGCTTGATGGCAGAAAATCCCTTACTTGTCTACCTCGATAGCGTAGTGTTCCTCCACGTTTCTACCCATGACCTGACGCTTCTTGGTCAAGGGGTAGTTGCAGCATGTCGATGTTAATGCTGGAAACTACCATACGATCCTGTCAAATCACTCATTAAGACAAATTTCGTACCTGTTCCCTAAACCAGTTCTTCCGGTCTCGCCTGGCAGGTTTCTCATGTGTTTGGTCAAGTACCTAATTCAGGCTACCGATTCGATCAAAGTTTTGATCGACGCTTGAAGCTAATTGAGTTTCGCTAAAATGAGCCATGGATGTTATGTGGTAGATACGCCCGTTACACTTGCCTCGTCGTCCCCTCGCAGTCGGACAGCAGAGCCACCGAGATCAGAACTGGTGTATGCCGTAACAGGGCTTTATCTTAAAAGCACAAAAAGTTAAGCTTGAGAAAGTTTCGAGAAACTCTGCGTATGTACACCATCGCTTCGAGGTGACAGGGGCAAACCCAGGGGGAGGTTGAGCAGCGGACATGAGGGCTGGATCGAGAGGATCTAGCACTAGAGACAGCCAACAAACCTGTCCATGTTTACGATAACGCTGAAGAAAATTATTTAAACTGTGATGGTATATACACAACTATTTAAATTGGATTGGTAACTAGAAACAGTTGTGATAACATCAACCGTTCCAGCATTTTGTGTGAATATAGGGTATGTGTCAAACAAGGCAATGACTACAGTTTACGCTAGCCACACTTTGCTGTGATGTGATCTATTGTTCCAAGAAGTCTGAGAATGTTATAATCTCTTGTCAATCATTCCCGCACCAGAATCTTGACGAACTAATGGCTGATCTCAGTTGTGGTTGTAACAAGCTTTCTAGAGTCATGCTTCGCTCGCTTACTGGATGCCACTTCACACTTGACGAAAGGGGCAATTTAATAATCATTCAATTCCTCCTAAAGACGTAGTGACTAGCTAGAGAACTCTCTAACAGCCCGTCAGAACGGCGTGACTACGCAACAACGTCTCGGAGGAGCTCCGGCCGTAATACCGGGCGAGTGGAGCCCGGGCCGGCGACGAGAGTATCTTGGATGCGGAGCTTTGCTCCACCTTTCAAGAACGACAAGTACGGAGTTCAAGAATGAGGTTGGAACGAAGGTAGAATAGTGAGTGTGAAGAGTCAAGATTGAGAGTTGTGGTAAATGGGGAGATGCTATGGTGAGGTACCAAGGCGGGTTCCGCAGAAGACCAAGGATGAAAGGATATGGAAGGGTTTGGCCAGCAACTGGGACAAAAGAGGGAGACAACTGGTTATTCTATTTTGACTTTTAAGATCACTACCTTTGGAAATGTATTGTTAAAGGGAAGTCTCTTAACTTACCCGTTGGCTCATGTGGGTCTAGCGACCCAGGCGAGCCAACCTAGCAAGCTAGGTTGGCCACAAAATTGTGAGACAGCCACAAAATTATGAGACAGCCCCTCACTTGATGATGTCCTCATTTCCATGCAATTACCACCTATTTTGGCCATATTTCACGACATAAACCGGTAGAAATTACCTCTCTTTTGTCCATCTTCATTATGCCGAGTGAGGCGAATCTCAGGGCCGCCCGGGAAGTCGTGGCATCACGTGCCCGGCATGCCCGGGGCCTCCACCGAACCTCTTCCTCCGGCACAACTCAACCTCTCTCACTTCGTGCCGCCAACGCACGCCACCCCGGGTCCTCTGTTGCTTCTATCCAGAGGATCGTGACGAGGATGGAGACCGGATTTACGCCTCAGCAAGTCGGCAGACCGCGGGTCCTCACAGACGAAGAAGATGAAGCTATCGTGGCCTTCGTCATCTGGATGGAGAGGTCCGGATTCCCTGCCTCCAAGCCTGAGTTAGAAGATGCCGCGACAACCCTCCGTCAGCGCAGGAACCCTGATGCCGATCCCGTTAGCAAGATGTGGTATGCTCGCTTCCGTGACGATCATCCTGAGCTTGAGCAGGCATTCCTCAAAGCCGCAGAACAGTCTCGTGAGTCCTGGGAAGCCGGCGGTCTCGATGACCTCAAACAATGGTTCAAGAACCTTGCTGAGACCGTCCGGAGTCATGATATCGGCGCCTCTGAGTGCTGGAATACTGACTAGGCTGGTATTAGGATTGGGATCCTCAGGGAAAGCGTCAAAGTCCTCGTCGTACGGACAAGGCGAAGGACAAGGAAGCAGGTTCTCTCCCCTTCCAACCGGGAGACCTGTACCCTCATCGGTACAGGCAGCGCGGCGGGTGATACGATGCCGCCGTGGCTCATCTTTAAGACATGGCCTACACTAGATTGGGCGTATATAGATGCCGATCCTGATATCCGCTTCGCCCAGTCCGACACGGCCTTCTCCAACGGCGAGATTACTCTCGAGTGGATGATACACTTCAACCGGAGTTCCTGGGCTAAGTCCGCTAAGGCACAGCGTACGGGACAGACATTTGAAGAGTGGTTTGGGTGTGACGAGTTCCTTAGAGATCCTTTGCGAAAGTATATTCAATATGACGTTCCTCCCGTCTCTCAGGCCCCTGACACAACTATCTGGAGACTCATCGTCTTTGACGGCTTCACGGGACATGGAGTCTTCGCCGTTAGAGAGTATTGTGCGAAGTTCTACATCATCATAGCTCCCTTGCCGCCTCACTCTACGCATGTACTACAGCCGATGGATGTTGGAGTCTTTTAGCCGCTGAAGAACGCCCACCAGAAGCTTCTCGGCAGGTGGCTTCGAAAGGGAAATATCTCCTTCTCCCGGGCTGACTTTGTCCGCGGCTTTCAGGCAAGTTACACCTCTTCTTCTATGTCAATAGAGTCACTGAGTTGAAGCAGGAAGTCTTCGAGGAAGGGTTCACGGCACACAACATCATCTCAGGCTTCGAGAAGTCAGGCATCTATCCACCAAATCCCGAGCCGGCGATAGCATACCTAGCCAAGAAGCAGCTTCAGGCGAAGCAGGCTGTGGACCCGGCCTTCGCCTCCCTCCTTCCTCAGGAATCTCGCTTCCAGGCCGCCGCAGATACCGCCAAACGACTCTCAGACCGCTACGGCGATACCTTCAGCTCCCCCACGCGTGCCGGACTTCGTCAGATACGTAATGTCGTCACGGAAGCTGTGGTTCTTGAATCTACAGTCACTGCTTATGTCGATGACCGCCGGGCTCGGATTGAGAAGAGATATAACGCTAAGAAGAGAGGGAAGAGAGCGAAGCCGATAGGAGACTCTAGTCATAACGTCAGTCTACAGGAGATTCGAGACCAGCAGGAGGAGGTTATCGCCGAAGCCCGGCAGAAGGAGGAGAAGGCACAGCTCCGGACCGCTCGCAGCTTCGTCATACAGGAGATGAAGAAGATCAAGGACCAATGGCGGCAAGAGAAAGAGATCACCGTCGACGGCGTAAAGAAGAAGGCATCGTGGGCTCAGTGGTTGGAGCACACAGGGAAGGACATTGAGTATTATTCTATGGAGACACAACGCTCGACTATGCATCAGATGCTTACCCAGAAGCCTAACCCTTTCATGATAGATACCCAACTGCCGCAGGAAGTTCACGAAGCTATTCACAACGCCAGTTTTGCCCCGAAACCCCTCAGCGCGATGGACTGGACCGCTCTCGCAGGAAGTGACGATAGCATCACTTTCCAGCTGGACCCGGCTCCTGCCGAGGAAGAAGAAGAGGAAGAGGAAGAAGAAGATGACGAGGAACTCCCTCTATTCGAGCCTCCACTGCGAATGCCCTCATCGCCGCCGGTTACACCCTCGCCGCCGCGGCTGCCGTCTTTGCCACCTGAACTTCCCTCCACGCCGTGCCCGATACGGCCTCAACACCACATATCAGGGATACAGAGGATCACGAGCATCATCACGCAAGCAAGGGCCGCACAAGAAGCCAGCCCGGAGGGCTGAAAAGACGCTCTCACAGCCAAATTTGTATGAGGAATCGTCCAGGAAGGCGGCGGCCTTGGAGGCTTAGGCGGCGGCTTCTATCATAGCTACAGTCAATATCATCAATATCATCACATCAGGCATCGCCAATAGCTTCAACTTGCTCTTTTGCACCTTCACAAATCACTTTGGACGGCTTCCAAAACCGAGAGACCGAAAAAGGCGGCTTCTCAAGGGGGGAAACGGGGCCCCGGGCTGTCTCATAATTTTGTGGCTGTCTCACAATTTTGTGGCCAACCTAGCTTGCTAGGTTGGCTCGCCTGGGTCGCTAGACCCACATGAGCCAACGGGTACCTAGGTGGGTAGGTAGTTGACTAGTTCGTCTATTGGTGACTTGCCAAGGAATGGGCCGAGGCAAACGCACATCTCGTTGTGACAAGAATTATGAGTCAATCAAGCCATTGTGCATATAAAAACAACAAAACCGACATTTTACACCCAATTCCACATGCTGATCTCTCTCTAACCCCTATAATATGGCCTGTGTGGAGGTTGACTTGCGAGTCACTCGGTGTGAGTCACTGCATTTATTGTGCGGCAAGATGGCGGCATTTTCAGTTGAGCCGGCTTTGGCAAGTGGCGCCAGAAGAAGAGACGGTTTTTGAAAGGGTGTGGCTGATGAGGAGAGAATATCGAACAATTGTTTACCCGCCACATTCGACTCGAGACTTTCAATGATTGAAGAATCTACTTAAACAGCAGCGATAGAATGTCATTTCGATGAGAGCCTGTTCTTTTAGGGCTTTAATCATCAAAGCAAGAGCATCCCTCATTGCACCTTCTCCAAATTGTTTTATTCCCGACTTTATTCCCCTTCCATCTTGCGCCTCGTCTGCTTCTAATTCAACATCTTCAACATGACGTCGATGGCCTCGGAATCCGTAGCAACCATCCTCTGCAACTCCAAGCAGACGCGATTCCAAATCACCAACTACCGTGAGGTATGGCGCCTCTGCCAACCAATTCTTGGTTTAAATGCTAAAATCTTCAGCTCGACATTGAAGGTGTCACCATCACTGTCACCTCGGGTGAGAAGCCCGTTGGCAAGGGTAAAGGCAAGGCCAGAGGTGAAGGCATCGAGATCCTTGCCGGCGCCAAGTTGCGACTGAAGGAGGGCCAGCGCTATGCCCTCGTAGGTCGGAATGGAACGGGAAAGTCCAGTAAGATGAGCCAACCGGAATCGATATTGTACTATTGAGGACTAACACTTCTGTGCGAAGCCTTACTCAAAGCAATTGCTGAAAAGCTCATCCCCGGTATACCCGAGGAGACTCGAATTGCTATCCTCCAGCAGACGAAACTTGTGGATGAGAAACCTAAGGACACGCCAGAAGCTGGTAATGAAGGCCTATCTGTTCTCGAGCAGGTGATCGAGAAGGCCACGGCCAAGCAGGCTGTTGAACAGGACATCAAAGGTAATCTTGATTTGAAACCCCAGAGACAAACAAAGCTCATCTCAGGTGATTTTAGATCTTTCCGAGGGCGTCAACGCCCCTGACCCATTTGCCCCTGTTCGAGCCCTTAGACGGCTCAAACACGAGAAGCACCAGCAGCGCCTCTTTCGTCTCGATAAAGATGCTCGACTTCGCAGTGGTGCACGTGGCATGCAGGCTCGCAAGGCTTTGACGGCATATGAAAAGGTCGTCGCCGAGTCAAACAGTTTGTACGTGTCCCTCGAGAGTTGGGAGTTGACCTTGCCTCTGACACACCAATAGGCTTGAGCAGTCGAACGAGGATATTCCGTCCGAGACTCTTCAAGCTGAAACGCAGGAGGCTGTCGATATGCTTGCTGATCTTCAAATCCAAGTTGACCCAGCTCGAGTTTCAGAGACTGAGTCACAGGCCAAGAAGATCCTCACTGGTTTGGGCTTTAGCGATGCCCTCATGGAGAAGCCAATCTCGAGTCTCTCGGGCGGCTGGCACATGAGAGCTGCTCTAGCAACCGCTCTAGTCCAGGAAACTGATATCCTCATCCTGGACGAACCCACTAACTTCCTCGACCTGCTTGGAATCATGTGGCTTCAGCGCTATCTTCAAAGTCTTGAAGAGTCTGACCAAGCTCCGACGCTCATTCTCGTTTCCCACGATCGCGACTTCATCTCACTTTGCACTGATTTGCTCATACTCAAGGACAAACAGCTCACCTACTTCCATGGTGACTTGCCTACCTATGAAGCATCGCAATCTGAGCGCAAACAATGGCTCACCAAGATGAAGGACGCCCAGGACAAGCAAAAGGCTCACATCGAAAAGTCCATCGCCGCCAACATCAAAGCCGGCAAGGCCAACGATGACACCAACAAGCTCCGCCAGGCAAAGTCGCGACAGAAGAAGCTCGATGATCGCTGGGGACTGCAGGTTAGTGCTAAAGGCGGTCGCTTCAAACTAAACAGGGACCTCGTTGGATACCACTTGACGGCCCGCGAGGAGATTGATATCCCACCCGAGGACCGGCCTGTGGTGGTTTATCTCCCAGAACCCCCTGATCTGCGTTTCCCCGGTGCTCTGATATCCCTTGAGAAAGTTGCTTTCCGATATTCGCCCAAGACACCTCTTGTGGTTCAAGACGTTACCCTTTCTGTTGGCATGGGTGACCGTATTGGTGTTCTCGGCTTGAACGGTGCAGGAAAGTCGACGCTCATCAAGCTCCTGGTCGGCGAGACGCAACCAACATCTGGAACTGTGACGACACATCCTCGCTTGAAGCTTGGATACTACTCGCAGCATGCCGTTGATGCACTACAGGCCCTCGGTCGTTCGGAACCTACCCTAACCGCCCTCGCTCTTCTCACTCGAGAAGTAGATGGGGAACTCACTGAGGGAGATCTTCGCGGCCTATTGGGTCAGCTCGGTCTCCCTGGCCGCATCGCTTCTGATGTACCCATTAGCAAGCTCTCTGGAGGACAAGTAGTCCGCTGCGAACTTGCGCGCCTTTTCTGGCGTCGACCACACTGTCTCGTGCTTGATGAGGTAACTACTCATCTTGACTATGAAACAGTGACAGCTTTGCGGGAGGCGTTGAGGGATTGGGAAGGTGCTGTAATCCTAGTGAGTCACGACCGATGGTTCATGCGCGGTGCGGTTGAGGGTGCGATGGAGGATGACGAAGACGACGAGGATGAAGATGAGGAAGAGGAGAGCTTGAGAAGGCGGGTGGTGTTTCGGTTGAAGGGAGGCAAGATGAGCAAGCTGGAGAACGGAGTGGAAGAGTTTGAGAAGCTCATGGAGAAGAGGGTCAAGAAGCTGCTCTAACGGTGCAATTGATGTGCCAATACGGACTTTGCAAGGAATCTTGGCAACCTATCTCAGTAGTTACTAGTAGCTGGAGCTAGACGCTATCATAGCTCTGAGGACCTTTGTCCCTCCCAGAGATGAGTGTCGGCCAAGACTCTAACAATGATGTGATCCAGCATCTTAACACTCATCTCCCCGCCCTTGGGAATTTCCACAATGGTTCCGTCGATGCAAACCTTGCGCCACCTCTCGTCATCCTCAAGAACAGTAATTCTGACCTCGTCAACTTCATCATAGCCAACACGCTCGCCATCATCCCACTTCATGTTAACATGGCTTCCCTCCTCATATGCCTTTAGCATGACATTCATGGTACGCTCACCGCCGATGGGACCAAAGTGGACAAGCCTGAGCCGCGAATCCAAGGGCCGAGTCGCGGGTGAGATGGTAAACTTGCGCTCGAGGTTCGACACAAGGGCCGTCAGAACGTAGGCGTGCTTGTCGCGAGGGATGACCTCAAAGGCGGTGGAACCACGACGGCGGATAGACACCTCTGCGGCGTACGCGTGAGACTCACGCAGGAGCTCCTGAGCGACCATGCCGAAGCGCTTGTCACCGTGGACGCGGTGCTCAGGGGTATCACTCTCATAGACGATGCTCGCGTGAAAGCCGTAGCTGGCGACGATGGCCCCCTGGAGGTGCGACACTGATGTCTCTTGCTTCTGCAGTTGGGTTGGGTCGACAGCGGCAGAGGGTGACTTGGCAGATTTGTCGGCGAATGTGACGATGCGGGATCCAGGCGAGAAGGATGCCCGGAAGACGGGGAGGTCATGGGCTACTCCTCGGAAGAGAGTTCGCAGACCATGGATGAGCGGTATTGGGCCTGGGTCAGAGTATAGAGGCTTGTGAGTTGAATGGAAAAGAGCATTCCCCGTTCCTAGAGGCAGCAAGGCAATCACAGGAGGGATTTCAGGCGGTTCATCTCCATCAGAGCCATTCAGGAGGTCCACGACACCACCATCACCGCTGAGAAGCACGACAGTCCTCCCACTAGGCCGACCACCCTCAGGAACCCACAGTTGCCGTGAGAATTCCCGAACAGTCTCTGGGTTCTCTGTGACGGTGACCCTGTAGTGCGACTTGGATGAATCGACCGTCAAACCGTCGGTGCGTTCCTTGTGCCTAGCAACCAAGTCCCACAGGGGCTGCAGTACGTCCTGCCAGGCCGTCAGAGCCAGCCCCGTGCCAGACTTTGTCGAGACGATGATGTCGACATGGTTTGTGATTCCAGACTTGCTGGTGACGCCGTGTTGGAGATGAGGAGGCAGGCCAGTGACCATGAGGTCGAGCAGTTCGGAAGGGATCTGCGTGGTCCTCAGGACCGACAGTCGAAAAGGGTGTTCCTTGTTTTCGACATCTTGTTTGAGAAAACAGAGCAGAAAGTCGAGACCGGTGCCGAGTTTGCCTGCCATGAAGACAAACAGGAGCTCATGGCGAGGAGCTTGCTCGGAAACTTCGGCCCGAGTCCATGTCAGATTGTCACCGACGATCGAGACATTGTCGACGATTACAATCTCACTGGAGAGATCAGTGGATGGTTGTTGGGAGCCCATTGTGCCGAGGTAGGGTTCAAGGGATGCAAAGAAGACGATGTGAGGAAAAGAAAGAGGGTCTCGTTAAAGGTGGAAATGAAACAAGAAAGGCTGCGGTGTCTTTAATACTAGGTAGCTAGCAGTGCGATTTGTCGATAGAGGTGATATTGGTGTCTCTTGCTGCGGATAATGCGAGCTATCTAACCAATCGCAAGAGTTAAGGAATGCGACAGGACGCCATCAAGTCGCACGACTCGGCGATGGGCGATATCTGGCAAGACTGAGCGAGGCAGTCGAGGGAGGTTTCGAGAAGCGTGCAATGGATGAGTTTGAGGGTTATACCAAGAAATGCATCTTGGCCTCCTCTCGGCGGTTTTGGTGGGGCTAGCGGCTTTGCTGACGAACATTGAATATCCAATGTCCATAATCGCCGACGCTTGCGCAATCCGTTTGCCTTATTACAGGCCTCGCTCGTCTCGTCTCATCTCGTCTCGTCCAATCCGCCCGCCCGTTGTCGCTTATGATAGCCATCATGAAGAGCAATCAGATCCAATGTATCCCGTCTAGTTGCACAGTATCACCGGCTGCTTGCCTTGCTCAGAGGTCCCCAGTTTTCTCGTGGGTTCATCTGATATCGCACATACTTCTGCTCTCTTGGCCTGCGCGCAAGACGAGCCAGGCTCTCATCAAAGACGAGAGTCTTGCGCAACTCCATCTCGCTTGGGGCACCTTCATCTTTCCCGTTTGTCGCCGTCGCTGTCGCATCCGAAGGCTTTGTGTCGGCGACTGCTGAAGATGGAGCCGACTGTTCCACACCCTCCATTTCCGATCCGTTCTCTGCAGTCACAGTCTCGGCCTTGTCCTGCCCAACGATCCCAGCATCACTCAGAATCTTCCAAGCAGCCGAGTTCTTCTTGATATTGGCTTCCTTGATGGGCGACTTTTGTCGGATCCACTCCGTCATGACCCACCAGATGGTCGACCATGGAGCATCTGTCTTGATGCTACCTGGTCGGCAGTGACTCCGTGCAGTACGGTATCCTAGGTGAATCAGTGCGCCTCGGACCATGTCCTCGCTCGGGGTTGAGCAGCTGACCACATTAGCCAAGCGGCTTGGGATGACAAAGAAAGGATACAGGTCGCGTGTGGCGAGCTGAGCGTCCTTGGGGTCCACGGGCTCCTTGACTTCGGGCCCGGGCAGATATTCTTCAAGCGCCGTTCGGAGCATGCCCTCGAGTCTCGGCATAGTGCCATACACGGAGCGATCGGCGCCAGGAATCTGGTCAAGTAGCCTCTGGATAAACTCCTGAGAGTGAATGTGTCCACCGTACATAGGACCGTTGATATGCATCCTAGTGCCGCAATGTTGGCAGTGTTGATCTGCGGTTGGTCCCTGTACCATGCTATGCTTGTAAAATGCGCCAGTGCCCTTCTTGTTGGGAGCAGGCTTGCTCTTCATCATGGGCTGAGTCTCCCAAGCACCGCAGCCTTGGTCACAGCTGTAGACCAGCATGGTCTTTGCTGCCAAGAACTTGACAGCTTGCGGAGACTTTGTCACCTTGATGAAGAACTTGGTATAGAAGTCGATGGAGAGAGAGAGGAGAGGCTCGATCGAAAGACCGTATCGAGCTGCCGAGGTGGCAACCGCGTTCAGAACAAGTCTCAGGCCAGCTTCATGTGAGTGCAATCCCTTGATCGGGATGCCTCCATACAAAGCAAATGTCTTCTCGCAATAACTGTGTCCTGCCCACACTGCACTATCCGTGCAAGTAATGCAGAGAAGACCCCCGTCATCTCTCACTGACTGTACAGCAGCATCAAAGAAAGGCGCAGCGGTGCCATAAGGGTCGAGATCGATAACGTCAAACTTGTTGGCTCTGCCAGGGTTGCCAGTCCTGTCTCTATTGGAGAGGTCGTCGGCAATCCCCCGATACATGAGACCAAGAGCATCGCCCTGTGTGACAGAAATCTTGTCCTCGAGTCTATTGTGCTTGACATTCATCTTGATCGTCTCTGCGGCCGAGTCAGACAGGTCGTTGGCCTTTACGGAGGTCACGAATGGTAGCTCGTGAGCATATCGGAGCGCGCGTAGTCCTGACGCCGACAGTGCGTCGAGAATTCGGAACTGAGCCTTGTATGGCTTTGACTGTTGAGAGTTCTGAGCTTCCTCAGCCTTGGGGCCCTCCTCAGCCGCTTGCGCATCCTTTGGCGGGGGGTTCGAGGTGGACTCGGTAGGCTTTTGCTCGTCATCGTCGCGCTTTCGCTTCTTGCCCTGCTTGTTCATCCTCGACTCGAACTGCTCCTTTCTCTTCTCGAGAGACATCTCTCCATATGTCTTGATCGCGAGAACCGACAGATCACGGTTGTACTGCTGGATCGGGTTGTAAAAGACCTGCTGCACCTCGCCGCGATCCTCACCAATCTTGGCGCCCTGAGGAACGAGGATGGTCGCCTTTCCCTCCGTTACGGTTCTGTACTCCTTTCCGTCGAGGCTCACGACCTCTGTGTCGACTTTGCTGTCCGCCATGTTGCTCGTGGTTGTGGAAAACAAGCGTTGCGCAGGTGTTTTGTCGCAAAGAATTTGATGGCGGCGATTCAAGTTGGAAAGAACAGTGCGCAATTGGAGGAGGAGGGATGGGTTCCTTGGTCCAAGTCCCGCACTGGCGCGAAGAACTGGCCGTAGTATCCGAGCACTTCGAAGCATGCAAAAGTGTTGCACCAAGAGAATTTGCATTGCTCTTGAGTAGAGCTTCTCGTGGTGGAAGCTGAAAAAATGGAGATTCTGCCACTGGCAGGACGACAACGGCAGGCGGTGAGCGCAAACACTCACATAGAAATCTGGGTGCCTGAAGAAACCTCGTTCTTGAGTGCATCGTTGGCTTCCTATTGGATGTTGTGGATGTCATAGGTTGAAATGACATTCATTAACGAGAATTCATCAATTATGAATTTAATCTGGTCTTCTCGTTCATGCTGCATAGAAATATCCTCTGAGTGAGTAGTTACGTAGTAATCGCCATTTAGAGAACGATGGCCCAGATCAGCATCCTGGAGCATAGCGTCAGGCTAAACCCCCAATCCTTCCTTACCGAGTCTATAAGATCAAGATGAGGTCGAGTGTCCTCGAGTGCCCTGAACAGCTTAACCGAATGCTCTTGCTATGTGCCTACCTTTCCCAATAGCTACTACTCGTGAGGTAGGCGCGAATCTTGTGTTCAAGGGAAGAGCGTACCAGTCACTAAGATGGAGGTCCTCGTCAACTCCCGAGGTGCCATCACACAACTTCTTCATCTTGTGCTAGGTAGTCATCAAAACCTCAAGCATCCAATCGCCTACTCTAATCTCATCAACATCGACACTCTTTTTCTCTCCATCCCTTTCGCCCTGTGAGTTACAAGAATAGCCCATCTCCCCGCGAGACCGGATCTCTAACACCGTCAACAGCCTCGTTCAATGAGCAATAACGCCTCAAATTTCCATTCACTTGGTCAAGATTGCAACATAAATAACATCCCAATGTCGGATCATTCTAGTTCCAGCAAAAACGGCGGCCCGCCAGAACTTCCGCCTCTCCCTCTTCACTCTCCCCGTCAGCCTCCTGCATCTAACGAACAAGGCAATGGGCGTGCCTACTTGAAGACCTCCCGAGAACAAGACCAGATCCAGGTTCCTCGTCACAGATTCCTGACAGCGAACGAGTGGATTATTCTCGCCCGCGGTGTTGGTGCAATTCGAGATGCAGAAGAAAATGCACTCGTGGTTCCGACCAGCTGGTGGTGGCCAGCCAAGGGTATCCCTCCAGGACTTTACTCAGATGTCATTCGTCGGAGGTCTGTTTCTTTCTACTTCTTTCACCTCGCCAGCATCGTCCGCTGGGGTCTCTTAGTTGTGCAGCTTTTTCTCGGCGCCAGTCTCACTGCGCTTGGTGCCTTTAGTTTCGCCAATGGTACATCTATCACTGTTCTTGGCGCAGCAAACACCATAATTGCAGGACTGTTAGCTCTCTTGCACAACAGCGGACTTCCGGATCGATACCGTTACGACATGGCCGAGTTTGAAGAGGTGGAGGACCACATCAGAGAAATTCTCACGACAAGATTAGTGCGCGCTGATCTGACGCTTGATCAAGTACTTGCACAATGCTACGACCTCTTCCACGACGCAAAGACAACCGTCGAGGCCAATATGCCGGCAACGTACACACCAAGCCAGGCCACCCCAGTCAGAAGAGGTAGCGTCTCATCGGTGACACCTGGGACGGTCACACCACCAAAGCCGACTAGAGCTAGCTCTGAAGACGACCAGAGTCCGGCGACGCGACCTGCCACTGGCAAATGATGCAAGGATTGAGAGGGTATGCGCTCTTTTTCAGGGTCGAAGTGAGATGGGTTCCCAAAATCGACTTAATTCGCAATGGCACTTGTACCTGCGTTAGCTTACTTTTGACAAACACCATGTTAGCCAGGCTGTCTACAGCAAAGAAGGGAATTGCGATGTATCATTGAAATCAAAAGATCTGCAACTTTGATACATGCAGGCTCCACGCGTTCTTCAAGATTTGACGTCAACTGGTGATGGCATGTTGAATGCGGCCAACGGCCTTGATATGGAAAAGTGATCGGCTGGCTTCCACGCCATGAACCCTGTCACAGTTTAATTGCCTGCCCTGGATTTCCCCTCTCGAGACGACATGACACGACCAGGGTGCGCAGGGTCATGTCACGCCTAGAAACTGGGGCGCTTAGTTTCATGATGGCCTCGAAGGATGGCCAACCCCCACTGCACCCTATCTACACTAAACAAGGGGACGATGGACCTTTACAATGACTGTGCCGCATGGGGAAATTCGTCGCAACCGTTGATTATCTAGTGTTAATTTGCTTTAAATGGCTCGATCGCCCTTTCTCGCGTGCGACCTTTTATCCCCCCCGTCTTAGAAGTCGTTCATTACTTTGCTTTGCACCACCATGCCTCTGTTGTAGTCGTTGGACGACAACCATCCAGATTCTACCCACCCAAGTCACTCCTTTTTTTACTGGATAGGTAATCAAACCGTCTTTTGGCGGTTTGATTTCTCTTCATTTTTGAACCATGATTATGCTTTCTGGCTTCCCGTCTTTACCCCCAAGAGTTGTTCAGCTGGTGTTATTGGTCGTCTTTGGCCTTCTCTTTATTCATACGCGATGGCTATCACAGTCTCGAGAGGACAGGATCGGTCTCAACCATCGTGAAATTGCCATCAACGGCCCCGTACCGGAAGAGCAATACTTGGACCGACTGACACGACAGATCGGTCTCTCGAATTACACATCATGGACCGCATGGAAAATACGAATCTCGGAGCAGGACTCTGAGTGGACGTCACTTACGAGCATTGACGCAGACTTTCATTCAAACCAACCTAGAGTTGTCGACGTGCGCGAACCTGTCCGCCGAGACTTGGTTGCGAACCAAGAGCTCACCATCCCCGTCCCTGGAGGCCCTCGCCCTGGACAGGTCGACGCTTCGGATTTCTTGTTCGCTGTCTCGACGAGCTTTGAGCGCGTCGCTAGAGATGACTACGCCGTGGTCAAAGACTGGGCGCGTTGGATGACGGGAGGAAATCAACACGGAAACGGAGCAAGCTTTGTGCTTATGCTTGATCAAGCTGATAGCCTGCAAGTCAAGGAGCTCAACAATGTCCTACATACTTTTGGCATTGACGCCCATGTCACCTCGTCTACGAACCCAATGTCGGCGGCGAGGAGATACTTTAGCATGATCGACGCTATCAAAGGATTCGGTGCTAAGCTTACGCAAAACGGCCAGAGGAAGAAGTGGTACGGCATTCTCGACGAGGAGATCTTCCTACCCAACCTGTCATATCTCCAGGAACGGCTGTTTGCCTTCAACTCTGATAAGGAGCTCTACATTGGACTTCCCAGCGAGAGGGGAGACTGGGCTATCGGAGAGGGATTCATGACTACCTACGGAGGTGGTGCCGTCTTTCTTACACGACCTGCTATATCACGCATCCCGCAGCTGCCTTGCTTCGGCGACGCTGTTGATAACCCGACAGACAAGAAGCGATGGGATGGTGTCCTCCAAGAATGCTTGACGCAGCATACGAGAATGAGGATGCATATCCTCCCGAGCTTCTACTCGCCCAGTCACAACGACGAATATACAGCCCACATTGACAGCTACGAGACAGGCGTTCAGCCCCTGGCGCTGCACGACTACGAAGAGAGGCACCACCTCACTCCCAGCCTGGCACACCTCGTTACCGATGTCTGCGGTGAAGCATGTTTCCTGCAGCGCTACCGCTTTCGCGACAACTGGGTTCTCGTCAACGGCTACACCATCACCGAGTACCCAGATGGCATGAACCTAGCAGACATGCCACTGTCCATGGTAGGAAGGTCAGCCGAAGCGAGACGAAAGTCTGTCATCGGCCCAGTTAAGCTAGACGAAGACCCAACAGACCGAAAGATGCTGTTCTGGACTGGGAGACGCAATGTCTGGAAGCTGATGGACTCGGCAATGACCAAGGAAGGAGACGTATGGCAGGCGTACGTCAAGAGGGGCGCAGTGGAGGATGCGACGTCGCGCAAGAGGTCAGTGGAGGATGTGACAGACTCTGTGATTGTGTTGATCTGGGAATCGGCTGCTTCTGCTGCGTCATGAGTCAAAGGAAAGGAATTTCTTACGTTGAACGTGTATCATGTGTATGGCGGGTTAGTTAGTGTCTTTCAAAGCAAGAGAATGATATCCTACGAGTTCCAAAGTGTCGCCATGAGAGGTGGTAACTTGTTAAGCGTTGTGTGATGTTTGTATGAAGTTAGCCCCCGTATCAGAAATGAACATGCACTTAAGAGGATTGATCAAAGTATAGAGTCTAGGTAAGAACGAATGTTATATTGGCTGTCTATTGTTCTCTTAGGCATGTTCCCTGAACAACCCAACTATCTCCTTGTCTTTGTTCACCTAGCTCTTCATGCTCCCTCATTTGTATAGAAGTGAAGCTCCAGCTTTAACCCTGCTAGGCTACCCGTGCTCCATGCATGAAGATGCTTCTGCCTCAACTGCCTCTCCGACTCGTTGAGCAACTCCTTGAGTGTCTCAGACATTTGGATCTGCCACTCAGCTTCAGATCCTGGGGGGATCTCACTTTCAGAGGGCTTGACACAAAATTTAACATCTGGCAAGTGGACAATGGCGCAGATGAAATGATCGGCAGGCGCTGGAGTAGTCAAGATGATCTCGTGGATCAGACATTCGACAACTTCGGCTAGCTCACACATACAGCAGAGCTCTGCGACCTTGCCGCCTTCTGAGAGGGTAGGCAGAACAGTAGATAACTGGGTCGGGCAATTGGGCACGGGGATGCCCAAGCAGGCATGGGAACATTCCGCGTGCTGAAGCGTAGCTCGACACGTAGGACAATTGGGAACGCGCCCCTCCTTCTCCTCACACTTCTTGAGGTACTTGGTTATGCAATTGTCCCCAAAGATGTGTCCGCAGGCCAAGATAGATGCCCTGTGGTCTCGTTCAGGGTCGACATTACTATATTGCGGCCCGCCAACTGTTGTCGGCTCGAAGCAGATCTGGCACGATATATCGAGCCTGCCAAAGTTGTTACTGTCTTGCTCCAGCTTCTTCTTTAGTGATGGCCAAAAGCTATCGCTTACCTTGCTGGATTCCTGGGACATGATGGATACCACGGAGGGCTTTGCTGGGAAGATGAGACGTACTTAGTCAACGTTGTTAGTCAAGATGAAGAAATGTCCAAAAACTGGTACAAAGGTGAGTCTCGAGGCTTGCAGGTGTCAAGACGACTTTTAGTAGAAAGTGTATGAGTCGGCAGGTGCGAAAGTGTCTGCAGGAGTAGGTGTGAGGGGGAAGGAGAAAAGTCAGGGGCAAACCGAAGAGTCAAGGTCTATATATATAGAAAAGCAGAAAGCCTTTACTTCATCTGTGAATTTGCGGGTTATTCCACTTATGTGACTTGGCGGGTCTTATTCTCGAGTTATTCATCTTTGTTCAGCTTCTTTTAAAAACGTTCAGGGTCCCAGCACATGTCTGAAACTTGAGGACATGCGTATCACATCTTAGTCTGTATAGTAAATAGGTTTGTATTAACACACATATAGAAGTTGTACTGTCTTTTTCATGTGTTCTTGTCTTCAATACCTCACATGCTTTAACTTACCCACCTGAACACGCGTCGTTCTGTTACGAATCTTTGATCTCGTCCAGCCTGCGACGCACCGCAATCATTTCGATAGGACCGCTGTACTCGAAAAGGCGAACCTTGAAGTCTCCCTCTCCTATAGACGGGCTAGGGCAGTAGTAGAGAGTGGCCAGGCTAGACTCTAAGTTTCGGCAGTGCTCGCGCATGGTAGCCGGTATTTATGTCTCGGTACTTTCACGCTCATCTCCATCAAAAGCCCCATAGATCTTGTTTTTGATCTGGATCCGATAGGCGAGCTTGAACGATTCCAGATCCTCAAGCATCTTCCCTTCGAGTGCGCCGGTGAGGAGCGTCAAGCTCTGCAGCACATCATCGGATGTGCACGTGTAGCATTTGGGCTTCAGTTTCAGACCCTCGGAGGCAGTGCGCTTGCAGACGCCAACGTCTTCCGCCTTCTCGGGAAATGGCCAGCCCATAAAAAAGCATCCGCACACTGGGTGGAATGACGGCTTGCACGTGTTGAGGGGGCATCCAGGAGGAAGACCATGAGTTTTACGGTACATGAGATGGTCGGCCAAGCAACTAAAGCCGATTAGGTGGCCGCATAGAAGGATAATTGCTCTATGATCACCCCCGTTTTCATCCTTGACATGCTCGTTCTCCTTGGTTGACATGGGAGACTTGCACATCATGCATTCTAGGCTCAGCCGATCCATCCCTGAGGGATCTTCCTCGAGAATCTTCCGAAGGGTTGGCCAGTAAGACTCGTTGATCTGGTTCTCCTCGGGAGGCATGGGGGCGTTCTCGGGCGTCTTGTCTGAATCCATATTGAAATGTGCAGGTGCACTTTTCTAATAAGTAAAAGTTCGTGGGATCTGTGTGTGTGTGTTGTGTTTGGTGTGTGAAAGCTCGTTAATATTGCTCAAGTTCAGTGAGGGAGGCCAAATTGTCGTCTTCTTATACATGGCCAAAATATCAAGCCTTTGTGGCACCCAGGTCAAATTCGAGGCCGGAGATGCTCTGCCGTTCAGAATTTTGGCTCGTTGAGTTCACAGAACAGTTCTAATCACAGAAATGGAATAACAATATGAGCCACCGATGAACACTTGGTTTGAACAAAGGCCATCGCCATCAAGACCATGAGAGCCCTTCTTTGAGCTTAGAATTGTTCATTCCGTAAATGTGATGAAAGATCTCATTGTTACTTTGTTAATCAAGGTATGGACTGGAGACGGTAGTTTCCTTGTCGTTTTTTGCAGGAGGCCACCTCGTGCTTGGGGCATACCTAGAGTTACAGCAACTATTCAGGTAGGTAAACCATATTCTCAATCTCATAATTTCATAACCCAAAGTATGCATCCCTCCTATAATTATCGGTTTTGGAAAAAAGAAATTTGGAGTTGGCTCGGAAGACGGCAGGAAAACAATAAGCTGCTTGCTCATAACCATTTCGGCTGATTTATCCTTCTTAACCTATAGTCTAGGTGATGATGGTGTATAACAGATCGGGCTTAAAAATCTACATGTCCATCGGTTAAATCGAAAAGGCTTTTCTTAAGTTTGGACCTTGCTACGATCTAGTATCGTAGCAATGCTCTTTCGTAGGTGCGCCGGGGTAACTATGCTGGTGAAGAGTTTCAACCTCAGTGTAATATCGGCCAGCATTCTCATCGTCCCATCTCACTTCCATCCAGGCTTAGCATGAAGCAAAGAGATAGAAAAGACATTCTTGTATTTGATAATGCTCTCTTTCCAAGGGTCAGTCTTCCTTTGTCTGTCGGCACATGCACGATTGATGTTGGAGGCAGGACCTCAGCCTCATCCTCCGCAATGGCATCCTGATATGGCGGACGCCTTGAACGTGACTGCGCCACGAGGCCTTGCCCGTTTATTCTATCTGGCAGCCCATAATTAGACGTCAGCCACCTGCATGGCATTCCTCGTATAAGCTCCTAGAACCTCGCTTGTTATGTATCCTGCCCCTATCTTTAGTGGGCTGCATTGCTACCCCAGCCAGTTGAAGGATTCAGCGACTTGGCGACTCCAATCCATCCAGCCAGGTTGACAGCCTCAACCAGCTAAGCTTTGCCGTCTGTTATTGCTCTGGCACTCTTAGCAACGGAGCCTTAATAGAACCTCAGCCCGGCTAGACGTGCATCCTTCGGGGGAGCAGCATGGAAGGAATCACATTCAGTGACCAGGTCTGATTGATACTCACTATTGGGAGCGTTGTCATTGTAACTAATAAGAACACTCCTGCCGGGGCTTCACAGCCACCTATAGACGCCGTTTCTAGGCAGTGATATCTTGACATGGTACCAACAGTGCCTCACTGTATTGTTGTCAGGCACGAATGCGATCATCTATAAAACCTCAATATGCCATCATGTCAGGGACGGAATGATAACTCATCAGACTTATCCATTCAGTTACAGCCGTTAAAAAGGTCCCCCTTTCATCCTGCACGCCATCAGCTTAACTCTACCAAATCTCAATATGCACTTGGCACTACTCATTACCTCCGCCGTTCTCGGCTTCCCATGTTGCATCTCGGCAATGGCCCTAAGAGGTCTCCCATCCAACTACAGAGTCGGAACCCCAGGCATTGCCCACAACGATGGAAATGTCACCAAGCGCGGCGATACTCCCAAGTACTGCTGGGTATCAACCATCGGGAAGGGCACCTACTGGTACGTCCCATATTTCGCCGGAGACGAAAACATTGCCTCTATTATGGGTATGCAACACTATACGGGCTTGTGGTGCCCTGAGGAGAAGTGGTAGCCAAGTGAATACGTCGACGATATCATCGCTACGGGCCAAGAGCAGATCACCAAGAACGGTGGCGGCAAGAGATCTTATAAGGGTGTCTTTGAAGCGCAATGGGAAGGATGGATGAATGCTATCCCTAGTCACGCACCGATGCAGGCCATTTTGGATGTCTACTTTTGATTCACGCTCCCCAACTGCGATACAGCGCCTTTGGCTTGTAGTCACCAGAACCGTCATTACTACTACAACTTTAAGGGGGAGGCGAGTACTTCTTTACTATTGACATCAAATAGAGTACGCTAACAATAATCACGCAGTCTATCGGAATCGTTCACAAGGATGGTGATTGTGGTGGTTTCCTGGGTATTGGAGGCGATCCCCTCGCATATTGCCCAGGAAAAGACCATTGCAAGAAATATGTGGTCGAATGATGCACCAGAGTAGACACACAAGTGTACCATGTAACGATAGACGATGGATTTGACAGCGATGATCATAATTGAAACGATTAAACGTGCCACATTTCCCTGCTTGGAGCGTGTCCTTGATTGCCATATCGACCCATGTCGTTTGGAGATTGTTGAGTGATGCATGGTCCATGTGCCCGGCCCCAGCCGAGAGTGCTGATCAATTCGAAACGAAGGAGCGAGATACAAAGACGAGGATACTAATCAAAGTTATACAAAGGATGAACAAAAAAAAGAACAAAAGAAGCAAGCCGCGTAACGCTCGTGGCGGCAAGCCTTTGATATGAATGTTTCTATTCTAATCCATTTCTTAGGCGCCCAAAGACTTCAACGGCGCTTCACCAACAAGCGCTCACAATACGCGGTAACCAACCAAGATACGACGCACACGAAAATTCCAGGCACAGGGGCCTGTTTCATCGCTGGAGGGTGGCCAATGAAGCCTCTGATGTCATACGGCCTCCCTTACAGCGTCGCATCGCACGGCGTGCCCAGTTTTTGCTGCCTCCCACTCTCAGGGCCTTCCTCGGTGGGGGAGTTGCCCCGTCGGCCAGCGCAGCCAGTTCGGTGGAGACAGCATCACAGCCATCACAATCCGCCAATCAGATGCTGCGCTTCCCCCAACTTGGTATGGACGGTCCCACAATGGACTCCAAGAAGGCAGGGGTCTCCAATCATGACGCGACCGAAGGCGGCAGGCCAAACACCAATATCTTGGAAACCAAACCTTCTAATCGCCTACTCCTGTCTCTTTTTTCTTGACTCTTATCTCTTCTCATGACCTCTTTTGAGACCCTTTATCGTTTAATTTGTTTCTGTTAGTTATTCGTGTTGCTGGCTGCGAGAGCCTTTCACTTGCAACAAAACCTCTGATTATCTGCAGAACATTACAACACACATTGGGGAACATACTTTCGGCTCCCTCCCCCTACTGGGGCACAATAACCTCTCCTCCTCCACGTTTCACCTCCATCAACTCTCTCCTCCTCATCCAACATGTCTTCCACAGCGACAGACACTGCGGACTCGGTGACCGACACGGCGTCGGCCACCGGGACCGATTCCATTGTCAGCTCCCTCGCCAGCTCCATTGCTAGCACGATAGCTTCCTCTGCCCTATCGGCCTCAGAGACTCTCAGCGGGTCAGAAACTCTCTCAACCGGAGCTACCAAGACATCTTCAGGAGGCACAGGTATCACTCCATCGCAAACTAGTGCCGCGGACAAAGACAAGGGCATCGGCATCGTCAGCTTCCTTACTGCGGTGGCTGTTGCCATGGTCGTCTTTGCAGTTCAGATCTTGCTATTCTTATTCCTGCGTAACAAGCTGGCCAGAATTTTGTAAGCTTTGGACTCCATATACCCAATGCGACTCTCTAACCTTTTTGTAGCAAGCCAAAGACATATCTAGTGCCCGAACGCGAACGAACCGAACCTCCTCCCCGAACGGTAGTAGGCATGCTCAAAACCCTATGGCACTACAGCGACCGCGAAGTCATTGAAAAGTGTGGACTTGACGCCTACTTTTTCCTTCGCTACCTCAAGACACTCCTCATCATCTTCATCCCTATCTGTGGCATTGTCATGCCCATCCTGATTCCCATCAACTACGTTGGTGGAAGGGGCAAGAACATTGACATCAAAGACGACGACGCTGGCAGAAACGAAACCGTACCGACGGGCCTGGACACACTTGCGTGGGGAAATGTTAGTAGTAAGAATACGAGCAGATACGGCGCCCACTTGCTTATGGCCATTCTCGTCGTCATCTGGGTTTGCTGGGTCTTCTTCTTCGAGCTTCGAGTCTACATCAAAGTGCGTCAAGATTATCTCACCAGCGCCGAGCACCGACTCAGGGCATCCGCCACCACGGTTCTTGTCAACTCTATTCCCGGAAAATGGCTCAGCGAAGAGGCTCTGATGGGCCTCTTTGATGTATTCCCCGGAGGCATTCGAAATGTCTGGATTAACCGAGATTTGTCGACGCTGCTGGATAAGATTAAGGATCGGAATAAGATTCACCTCATGCTTGAGCAGGCTGAAACGGATCTCATCAAGGCCGCGAAGAAAGCACAGTTGAAGCAGAAACAATCCCAGGAAAAGAAGGAACGCAAGGAGATGAAACTTGGCGCAATCAGCAAGAAAGAAAAGGCCGAGCGTAACGCGCGCGAGGATGCCGAAGCCCAAAGAACTGCCATGAACGCCGAAGGCATGACCGCTGGAGACAAGCACGAGGTACCACATACCATCGACGCCGGAGTGCGTGAATCCCGATACGAGATTCTCAACCAAGCATCAGCAAACAGCACCGAAGAGGAAGACAAGGCCTCATCGAAGGGCTTCAAGGTTCCCCTCCTGGGCGATCCCCTCGCAAAGGTTGGCCACGGCATCATGGGCGTTGTTTCTAAGGCCGGCAACAACGTGGAAGATACTTTGGAGACAACTAATGGCTTCATGGGTCTGAACCAAACCAATGATAACCGTGCCCCCTCTCGGAGCTCTGATCGATATCGAGTTCGTCCTTCGGTTGATGAAGATGACAACCGTATCTCGGCCTCGGAGACGCTCCGCCAGAACAACAATAACTCCCGAAACACTTACAGAGCGTCGGTCGAAAGCACGGCTGAGATCAACCCAAAGCGTTCGCGCGAGCCTATTGGCCTTGGGGGAAATACTGTACGGAAACTTGAGAACCCGGAGGACATCTATACCACCAAGGATTCCAAGTGGTGGCAGTTCTGGAAGCCTCCTCCTGGTGCCTACACGTCTCCTGTGCCCCAGGGAGCTGCAGCTGCGGCATACAAGCAACTAAGGGAGGACAACAAGAAAACCCTCTGGCAAAACATCAAGTACGCGCTCCCATTTGTCAAGCCCGACGTCGAAGAGGAACCCATCGAGTATCCCTTGGCATACAACCCTGATTACACCGAGGAACAAGACCAGCCTGCAGAGTGGGAGAAATATCTTAAGAAGAAAAATCGCCCGTCGCATCGTCTTCCCCTATTTGGCGTCAATTGGCTCTTTGGGGTGCCTTTCGTCACCAAAAAGGTCGACACAATCTATTGGTGTCGAGAGGAGCTTGCTCGTCTCAACTTGGAGATCGAGGAAGATCAGAAGCACCCTGAACGGTTTCCCCTGATGAACTCGGCCTTTATCCAGTTCAACCACCAGGTTGCCGCCCACATGGCTTGCCAGAGCGTCATCCACCATGTTCCCAAGCAGATGGCCCCGAGAATGAACGAGATTTCTCCCAAGGACGTTGTCTGGGATAACATGGCTTTCACTTGGTGGCAGGAGTGGATGCGATCGGCCATCGTTTTCGTTCTTGTTGCCGCTATGGTCTTCCTGTGGGCAATCCCTGTTGCTTGGACGGCGGCATTGAGCCAACTGGACCAGCTCATTCAGGACAATGAGTGGCTTCACTTTCTCAAGGACAACTCGACTGTACACAACATCGCCAAAGCTGTGGCTGGTGTCTTGCCCGCTGTGGTGCTCGGTCTGCTGCTCTTCCTCATCCCCATCATCCTCGACTTTTTGGCCAGTTTCAAGGGGGCCAAGACTGGATCGCAAAAGGTCGAGTTTGTCCAGGTCTTCTACTTTGTCTTCTTGTTCATTCAGGTGTTCCTTATCGTCTCTATCGCATCTTTCTTTGCGGCATCTTTCGACGAGCTGGTGAACAACGTGAAGCAGCTACAAACTGCCAAGGCTGTCCTCGATCTTCTCGCGACGAACCTACCCAGCGCTTCCAACTACTTCTTCTCATACATGATTTTGCAGGCCATGTCGACAAGTTCTGGAACCCTCCTCCAGATTGGAACGCTGGTCATGTGGTACGTCATTGCAAAGATCCTCGACAGCACTGCACGTAACAAGTGGTCACGAAACACCAAGCTCAACCAGGTCAAATGGGGCGCCTTTTTCCCCATCTACACCAACTTTGCCTGTATCGCGCTGATCTACTGCGTGATCGCGCCGCTCATTTCCATCTTTGCTATCATCACCTTTGGGCTCTTGTGGTTTGCCCAACGATACGCGATGCTCTACGTCACCCGGTTTGAGCATGATACCGGCGGTGTCTTGTACCCTCGTGCTATCAACCAGACTTTCACCGGCATCTATTTCATGGAGCTCTGCATCGCGGGTCTGTTCTTTATCGCCAAGGATGAAAAGGGCAGATCTGCATGCACGGCCCACGGAATCGTCATGATTGTTGTCCTCATCCTTACTATCCTCTACCAGGTGCTCCTCAACTACTCTTTCTCGCCTCTTTTCCGATACCTGCCAATCACATTCGAGGACGAGGCAGTGCTGCGTGATGAAGCGTTTCAGAGAGCTCAGGATCGCCGACTCGGTCTTCTTGAGGAGGATGAGCTACCAGAGGAAACTGAAGACGAGCAGGAAAAGACACACAAGCCAGAAACCACTCAAGACATTGAGATGCGCAAGTTCGGTAGCATTCGTCGCCCAGTGAAGCAGGTCGGCACTTGGGCCAGGGACGGAGGACACCAGATTCGCAAGCTGGCAACGGGGGGCAAGTCGAAGGACAAGAACAAGAGGGCCTCGGAATACCGGCGACAACATCGACAGAAGGATATCGAGGCCCAACGAGCTATTGGAGAGGCACTTTTCGGAGGAATTCACGACGAAATCGAGGATCTCACTCCAGATGAGAGAGATGCCCTCGTTCGACACGCGTTCCAACACGAGGCACTTCGAGCACGCCGGCCTACCGTGTGGCTCCCTCGTGATGATTTGGGCGTCAGCGATGACGAGATTCGACGAACACAAGAATACAGCGAGAACATTTGGATCAGCAACGAGGGCACAGCTCTCGACAGCAAGGTCCGCGTCGTCTACGGCAGGGCACCACCCGACTTTTCAGAGGTGGACCTGATCAATCTGTAAAACACAAGACAAGGAAAGGAAAAGACAAGACGAGAAGGGAATGTACAATGATTTTTACGGCCAGGCCTTTGTTACTCTTTTGCGCGGCGTCTCTGGAAGAAGAAGGTTTTCTGTGGCTCGGAGCAGCATCACAAAGCACCTTGCGGGCAAGATGCAGTTTCACTGACAGAATGAACGGCAACAAATACCCTGGCTCTGGAAGGGGGCATTTTGGTCTCGATAGAAAAACAAGCAATGGAGCTGGGGAGATTTCGATATTTTGCTTTTTAGACTTTATGAATACACGTATAACCACGACGTTGAATCGGGCTCTTGTTGTTCTCCTGGTGAGATCCGAGAAAGGCACCTAGCCGTTCGGGGAATGAAGGCGATCTACGGGACCTTGTAAAGCAGAGCCTTAGATGCTCTGCCTGAGACTACGATCGTCACAGTTTTTTTTTTTTAAAATAACAGTCTAAGACTTAATGCAGCCCAGTCAAGGAGCTCTAGCATCCTATGATCAGGAACTGAATAGGTGAGACCCCCAAGGCAGCAAAAGTTTCATGAATTTGGCTTCTCGGGCCGTCCCGACGCCTCATTGTGCCTGCATTAGCCCAAGAGGAAGATCTAACAGGCACAGAAAGAGTTTTTGACTGGTTCAATTCGTACAAAGTGAAGAGGAGAGCCTAGCTACCTCCGGCTTGGGAAAGGAATGGTGATGGGATTCGCCCAAGTTGGTCATGGGCTAGACTAGCCAACTTGGGGGCTCTTTGACCTACTTATTCTCTGATGTATTTCATAATTATCACGTGATAAGAAAGGCGTAATTGGTTTAGTGGTAAAATTCTCCGTTGCCATTCGAGCAGCGTCGGGGAGCCCTGGGTTCGATTCCCAGATTACGCATTACTTTTTGCATTTTTTGCACATTCTCTAAGCCAGGAGAGTGATTTGTATCTTTTTGCAACATTATAGAGGCATCGCTTGACATGATGCGTGTTGTGGTGGGCTCATGTGCTCATGACTATCTGGTGACTGTTTGCCGAGATCACGTACAGCTCTTGAACCATCACTCAACGCCAGTCTTGCAGCTCATATCATGCTAGGAGACCCGAATCAATGCAGGTTAGAGTAGAATTTTTTATGTTATTACAGAAAATGAATCTTTATACCGCTATCTACAACTTTATAATAGCCATGTTAGGCTGTGTATGTCTGTATCCAAGTCTAATGATGCAGCACAAGTGAAAAAAAAACGCCCCTCCAAAGCGGCTCAGCAAACCGGCATGTCGTAACGGTCTGGGTCTCTCTCGACGCGCACGTCAAGGCGCCGCGTGCAAGTCACCCTGGCGCTGGCCTTGGTCAAGCAAGTCCCATTTCAACGCCGATCCAATGAAGCCTTCCCTTATCCTTCTCCTTTTGATGCTCATGGCATATTGAGAGTCATGTCGTCTATAGTTCACGCTTTCGTCGCTCGTCTGCCCTCGTCTCTTCAAGCTCCTTGCGTATCAGGTCGTTAAACTCATCTGGGTTGTCCAGGTACAGGTGGTGGCCGGCCTTGGGAACCAGGTGCACCTTTGTTGTACCGTTCTCATTACGCTTCTCCTCTTCTGTTCCATGGAGCAGTGCCTTGAGTCTTCTCTCATTGAGCTTCTCCTGTGCTGCTAGACCACCAGCCACATCCATCCAGTCATTTTCACCGTACATGAAAACGATGGGGAGACCTGTTTCCCTCTTTGGCGGGGCGCCGTCAGGTTGGGGAATCAGTTGTCGGCCAACCTCCTGGATACGGTTGATGACCGGACGACGAGCGTATGCGCCAGGGGCGAGGATGTATGCCAGCGCATACTCGCCGCTACCCTTTTGCTTAAAGATGGAGAATGAGTAGTCATGGAGAGCCTGAGACTCGAGCTGTGGGAGGTGGTTGAATCTCCGATAACTCCAGCCCGAGACAAATCGGGGGCCAAGAGGGCCACTCATACGAACAATGCTGAAGGGCGAAATGTTCTGATCCCAAAGCCAGACGAACCAGCCAGGAAGAGGGCGTCTCAAAACATTGGAGGCAGGCTTGTGCTTGGAGAGCGTACCGGTAGGCTCGGTGGTACTCTGCTGGTCCTCGGTAAATTCGTTCGCCATCGACGAAGAGTTGGGGTCAGGCATGTCGGCGTTGACAGCGTAAGGGTCCTCCGGTACACCGACCGGCGAGGCCAGAATAAGCTTCTTGAGGCGCCCAGGATACTTGATGGCGTAGGAAACAGCAAGATAACCACCCAGAGAATGACCTAGCAGGGTGAACTGCTCCAGCTTCCTGGCCTTTCGCCATTCCTCCAGTGCGTCGACGAACCAGCTCTCAGCTTCAAGAACCTGGTCCTCCTTCTTCTTGGCATGAATCTTGAATGGCGGCCGGGTCGAGTTACCCATGCCGAGCATGTCCAACGCATACAGCTTCAGTCCCCTCATGCGAGAAAGGGGTTCGAAGTTCTTGTAAAAGAAGCCGAGACCGGCGCCATATCCGTGGATCATGACAAGAGCATCCTCCGTCTCCTCCCCGACCCGTTCGACCGTGACTTCGTTGAGGGCGCGATTTTTGCCGGACAGGTGGACCATTGTCCGTCTCCATACTCGGGTGCCATACGGATCGGGGCGGTCGGGGGTATCGATATTTGTAATGCTGTCGTTGGCCTCCTTAAGGTGAGGCATGAGCTTCAAAAGGTTGCGCTCAACAGCCTGAGGGGCAAGACTCGTCCACTAGATATTTTGTTAGTGCTATTCCCACTGCGCTCCGATATTGCGCCGACTTAGACTTACCCATTGGTAGGCAGCGTCTTTGTAACCAAGAGGGAACAGAAAAGCAGAAGAAGGCTTGAGTTCAGGCTGATGTTTAAATTCCTCAGGGGCATCAGCGGCCCGAGGGGGTCGCACAGCACCGTCTGCGGTAGACATCTTGTAAGAAGAAGCGGGAAGCGAAGCGGCGAGAGTAAGACGCGATAGTTGCAACGCCGCGAAAGTCGGTTGAATCTTGAGCATGGGCGACAAAGCCGGGGCCCTGGCCTCTTTATGAAGCCCCAGGCAGCCAAAGCGACAAAAAAAGGGAGCCCCAATCAATTGATGACGCTTCGACCGTGACGCAAGTCGAGAACCGGAGTTAACGCAGAAATCGGCTTTTGGATGGTCCCGATGCCGACGCCCGGCGGCTGTGTTAATGGTTAATGTGATGAAGTCCGCTGCGGAATGGATGAGACGGGGATACCCATTGCCAAGTCCGCAGCAATGGGTAGGAAGCGGATTGTAAGATGAGGCAGAGAAAAGAGTGTAAAAGGGCTCGCCCCCGAGGTTATGGAGTTGTTGAGCCAAGTAAAAAAAATAGTAGAGAACGTCAAGGAGCCTTGTTAGTGGGAACCTGGAAGACGGGAGGCGGGATATATCGGTTTCTGCCGCTCTTGCCTTGGCTTTGCCTTGTACTGGGTACCGGCTGCACCAACGATGTTTCCCCAACGTGTTGGGAGAATCCACTGCAATTGGCGCTCGGATCACCCTAGCCCAAGAGGTACCCCATACAAGTACCGACAGGCCGAGCTTGGGGCTTTCAAGTTCTTCAACAAGGCCTTCCATCTGCCCTGCGCTGCGCTGCACTGCAGAGCCAGAGGCGCTAACCTAGAGGGGAGCTCCCTGTTCTTTTTGGCTTGTGATGACGATGGACCACCCACCGAGAAACGTTCCACCACCCGCCACGTTCCCCAGAAAAAGTCACCAGTAAAACTAACATCAACCACCACCACCACAACCAACTCTCGCATCGCCCACGTTTTACGCTACCCTGAGCCGTCAGCGGCTACAAGTCCGATTAATCACCCTCGAAGCGACGAATCCCCTTCTCCCGTTCTTCCTTCCCGTCGCTTATCGGACCCGAACTTGACCGCCCATCGATCCCCTCCCTTCGACTCGAACCTTGGCTCCTCTGCAGTGCATGGCCTCGTGCTCTCCCTAATCGGCTGCTCTTCAGCCTCTTGGGACCGACTCGGCCGACTAGACCTCTGGATTCCCCCATTGCGACATGGCCGACGACGTCGATTCCATCGTCAAGGGCGCCTCGGCTCCTAGCCAGGGCGTCAAGGAGGTTGCTGGCTCAAATTCTTTGGGCAAGCAGGGCGACCCTCTTATCCATACTCCGAGTTCGCCTTCCATGATTTACCTAAATCTGTTGATTCTCGAGGCGTCACTACGTGCCCAGTTTCTTGAGCTGCGCGCCAGGAAGCGTCACCATACCTTCTTCCTTGCGCTGCTTACAATCTGGATCGCCATGTTTGGATATGCTCTCTTCTTTGCCCCCCGAGAAGACGGTAGGGGCGTCGGTGGCTCCATCTACTGGGCCGTAGAGGGTGCCGAGAAGGTGTGTTTTATGGGTGGCATCATCACCGCAATTCTTGTGTGGGCAACTGGGATCTGGGAGCGCGGCATCAGGTGGCCGCGACGCTGGTTTGCCGTCTCCAACAGAGGACTGCGCGGCTTTAACTGCAAGCTCGTCATAATACGGCGACCGTGGTGGGCTGAGGCGCTCTCGACCCTTGGGTTTTTCTTGACTTATGGCCTCTTCTCGCATACCGCCAGCTCCTCCTACCGATACGTCGAGCCTAGCCTCTTGCGCGAGGTCGAGAGGGAGCTTCAGATCTCGAACGATAACCATCCTACGTTGATACTCCCCCACGAAGATGAGGAGCGGGGTGGCCATGAAGAGGACCTCGCGCCAGGTGGCGACTATGTCAAACTGCTACTCCTTGCCAAGCCCTTCTCAGCTACCTTTAGAGAGAACTGGGAGCTTTATCGGACCGAGTATTGGGAGAAGGAGAATGAGCGACGCGCATTGCTACGTGAAAAGGTCAAGGAACGGGATCACCAGCTAGCAAGGCAGCAATATGGGTGGTTATGGTGGCTCCCATGGCGACAGCCTCAACTCCGACGACAGGACCCTGAGAAGGCGGCTCACCACCCGCGCCATCCCGTAACCGAAAAGGAACGTAGGCGCCGGGGGAGCAGTGTTCGTCGTGCCTCAACCAGCTCCACCAGGAGCCAGACGCCGACTCTGGATGGTGAAGATCTCCAGGTCAGTCGTCGATCTAGTAGTGGCTCGATTTCTGGACGCCGGAAGAGGCTCTCGACAAGCTCCAAGCCAAAGCGACCCGGAAGCGACTCACGATCCGTCACTCCGGATTTCCCATCGCCCCTGGCTCGAGAGAGCAGCGCAACGCATACTGCAGATTTAGTACCAGAAAGCGGAAGGGAGCTGCGAAGCTCGGGATCGAGATCGACTGTTGGTTCGAGAGAGAGCGCGATAGTTGAGGGACGCGAATAAGTAGGACAAGGGGTTCTAATAACTAGCAAATGATATGTTTACGACTACTCTACGCATGTATGGCATTCGAATATCTGGTGGGGAGTTGAGTTTCTATGGTGAAGTCTCAGAAGTGCGTCACGGCCACCCTGTCAATCTCCCTTGACTCCTGGTCACTGAGAGGTGTTCCCCCTAGGGCAATGAGTGCTTCAGCTGTGTATGGTTTCCATCGCTTGGTTAGGATGGTCACCAGCGAGTGACGAGATCCCGGGTAGAAATCGCTAGGGGCGATATAATTGATATCAGCGCCGAGGTCAAGCAGCGGTTGCATTGAAGCGGCTGAGGCGTCGTTGTTTATGCCCAAGTATCGGGCCGCCCAGAGCAACGGTGGGTATCCATCAGCATCTGGATCGTTTGGTCCTGCGTGCCCTCCCTCTATGATCATCCTGATAGCCTCCACGTTTCCGTTTATGATGGCAACATGCAACGCCGTGGTGCCGCAGGGCCGTTTACTAGCCGTCTCGCGGATCTCTATCGAGGCGCCACGGCGGAGGAGCAGTTCGGTCACATCGTTCCGCCGGCAATGGATGGCTGCAATGAGAGGCGAGAACGAGACGGGAGGCGGCAGCTCGAATATTCCACGGTCTTGGAAATCAATGCTGTAGGAATCTATACCGATTGCAAGGCCCAGGTCTCGCTGCGTCAAAGACTGAGCATCGATATCGGCGCCATGATCCAGCAGGAACTCAACAGCATCGACCTGTCCATGTTCCGCAGCAACGTGTAACGGCGTCCAGTACCACCCGGCCACGGCATCCGTCTGGGGGTCAAAGTCGCCAGAGGTGTCGTATACCCTGTGCGTCCACTCCTCAGCGGCGACGACGCGAACTGTCATGCACTCGGCGATGTGCTTCAGAGTTCCGAGACGACCATGCTCAGCAGCCCAGAATGTGATGTCGTGGTTTCCCTGCTTCGCTTGTCGCTTGTAAAGAAGCGGTATGGCGATGTCATAGAGGTGGTGCGATGTCGCTGCGGTGCTAGCGACTGCTTGGTTCGAGCAGCACTCTAGGACACGGCAGATTATCTCGTTGGGTAGACGCTGAAATGAGGTCATGGTAGTAGCTGCTTGTGAGTAATTATCTCAATGTTCAACATTCGATGCTTTGGAGTTGTAGATCTGATCTGCCAATTGAGGCGATTTAATGCAGGAGGTTGAAAAGGATCATGATCCCCGCTTAGGCAGATGTGCTGTTGTGTCGTCCATCTCGACTCGTATGGCAGAAGATGAGCACTCAAGATGAAGTGAATCTGTTTCATGTAAACAATATTTCACCTGAACAATTTCACCTTGACTGACGATGATTGACAGACAAAATCTTCGTCGGAGCGTCATCTGGCCCGGGCGACACACTATTTCCTGAGTTTTCGTATAGGTTTGAACCAACATACCCTGGAATATGTCGCAATTTCTCTTAACCATCTTGATAACGAACGGCATGACCGAGCACTATAGAGTACGTGAAAGGCTTATAACTTTTCTTATCTTGCCCCAAACCTTATTTCTGCCATAGTGAGATCCGTGCCGTTCGTTATCATGGCGGACTCACCGAGACCAGACCAACTGCCGGAGTCTAGATATACGACCGAACCGCCAATAGCGTCTCAGATCCCGAACCTCGAGGACCAATAAGATGGCGCCCTACCTAGTAGGAGCCATAGCAAACTACCTAAATTGTCGGGGTAGGCAATTTTCGCCGGCAGTGGTTAATTGTTCTTCCCGCAGACACGACAATACACTCAGGCAAGACTCGAACTTCAAGCAAGCATCTTCTATCCGAATAAGTAACCGCGTACTCGGATCAAGGGAGAGATACTCTCTTATTATTACATGGTACAACTTATTCATCTCGCTGCGGGATTTGATACGACCCAACGATCGTCAAACCTGACTCGCTGTAACCCTGACCAAGATCCTGGACCCATATGACACAAGAAAACAGAACCGCATACGTAAAAAACCTAGAATAGAGGGGGCACGGGACTCGTAGACTAATGAGGACGACTCCTGCATCTCACCCCAGCTTTGTCCTGGTCCATATGGTACGAGCTTTCTCCGGGAACCCATACTACCTAGTAGATACCCGCCGGGCACACCTCGCCGTCGGCCACCAACGACGACGAGGCATTCATATCAAAGGTGGACATGTTTTGCGTGCCCAGAGTCTATCATTTCCTCTTACTAGGCTAGCTTATTCGTTGAAATCCGGGGTAAAAAACCTGCATGAGCGGTGCCGCCATCCGCCCGCCGCCCGTTATCTCCCCGGCCTGATCTTGAATTCTTTAACTGCACAGTCACTATCTTGTAGGTCGATCCATTTGGGGTAAGATCAGAGATAAACTATGGAACGAGGTTTTTCTATCTGCAGGTGGGAGGGGATGAACTGGTCTTGTTGGAGTTAAATAAGCTTGCTTCTGCACTACTAACAACGGTTTCTGACCCCTCATCCCTCGTCTTCCCTATTCCCCCAGTGCCGCCTTCTAGAAGATTTTGTAGAAGCTGCTTGCAATGTTTAGCTGGGAAAAGTTTCTCTCTGCGAAGCCGTCTCTGGACGTTCCAAGTCTGGAGACGGTGGATCTCAATGACAAGGAGATGGAGAAGAGGATCGTCAGGAAGCAAGATATCCGTATCCTGCCCTGGATCTGCATCACCTACCTGCTGAGTATGTTCCCATACACACTCAGCTAAGCATCTACTGACATTTTAAAGACTACCTCGATCGAGTTAACCTGGGTAATGCACGCACACTCAACAATGACACCCCCGAGGACAACATCGTGGCCCAGCTCGATCTCACCGGCCAAAAGTACAACATCGCCGTGGCCCTCTTCTTCGTCCCCTACGTCCTGATGGAGTTCCCCAGCAACATTCTCCTCAAGTACTTTTCGCCCAGCAAGTGGATCTCGAGAATCATGGTCTCGTGGGGAATCGTCACCATCTGCACCGCCGCCGTTTCGACATATGCCGGTCTTCTGATTGTCAGAATCTTTCTCGGTCTCGCCGAGGCTGGTTTCTTTCCTGGTGTCATGATGTACCTTTGCTTTTGGTACAAGCCAGAGGAGCGAGCGACTAGAATGGCCATCTTTGCTTCCAGTGTCGCAGTCGCCGGCGCTTTTGGAGGTTTGCTGGCTACTGGCATCTCTTTCCTCAACGGAAAAGCTGGCTTGGCCGGTTGGCAGTGGCTGTTTGTCCTGGAGGGCATTCCCGCTGTTATTGTTGGTGTGCTGGTGTGGTTCTGGCTCCCCGATTACCCCCAGACCGTCTCGTGGCTCTCCCCCGAGGAGCGAGCATTCGCCGTCAAGCGCCTTGGCCCCTACGCGCCCTCAATGGGTGACAAGCACTGGGACAGCAAGGTCGCCAAGGAGACCATCATGGAGCCCTTTTTCTGGCTCTTCGCCATTCAGTACTTCCTCATGACCAACTCGCTCAACGCTTTCGGATACTTTGCTCCCTCGATCGTCGCCTCTCTCGGTTTCGAAGGATACACCGCCCAGCTCCTGACTGTTCCTCCCAACGTCTTTGCCCTGTTCATCATCATTGGCAACTGTCTTCACAGTGACAGGACCAAGGAGCGCTCGAAGCATGTTATTGGTGGCTTGGCCTTTGTTGCTACTGGATATCTTTTGCTCGCTGTTGTCACCAACTGGCGTGTCCGCTACTTTGCCGTCTTTATCATTGCTTGCACCAACGCAGCTGTTTTGCCTTTCGTTGCTGTAAGTGAACTCTCTAGCATCTTTACACGCAGGAATTGGTTATTGACTTTATATCTAGCACCGAACGGCCACTGTCCGAGGCTCAACTGCTACTGCCCTGGCCACTGGAGGCATGATCGCCATCGCAAACACTGGCGGTATCTCTGCTCCCTTCCTGTTCCCCAGCAGCACCTCTCCCATGTACGCCATGGGCAACTGGACAGTCTTTGCCTTCCTCGTCGTGGCAGTCCTTATGACTGGATACGTCTGGTACGTCTTTGGCAGCCACAGCGGTTACCGAACTGGAACGGCGGATGAGGGCGGCAACCTCGAGGTCCTGGACGCGGGCGATCAGGATCCCAACCAGGTCATGAACGAGGCGCTTGCCGTGGAGAAGAAGAAGGAACAGATCAAGGATGATGGCATGGCTTGATGACTTGTGTTAAAAAAAAGTTGGATTTTGGCTCTCATAACTTACATTGTTATGATTCATGAGAACAGAGTATGAAGTTGCAGATGACAAATCAAAGATGCTGCTACTACCGACTTTTCATCCCGAAGATATCTGATCGTGTTCATTGACAGTGTTAGTGACGTTGGTATTGTCTAGAACCTCCGACTTCGCTTGGCATTTGATGCAACTCCTTGTGATGGTTGTCTACTTACAACCAGTAAGCGTACAGTCATTTCCACCCTTGACAATGACAAAGGAAAGATATTGCAAAATCTCAAGCTAAAATCCAACTTGTTCAATTCGTTACGAATTGCTCTTGTAGAAGAGATGACCGAAAATCGGGAGTAAAATGCCCCATTCAGGTGCGTCGGAACTCCCCCGCATCCCGGCATTTACTTCGGATAGTAACTCGACGACGGATGTATAATCGGATAAAGAAACAACCAGTCCAGCCTTTCTTATAAATGCTTCTTATTGTATTTACTTTGATTGATCGAACCCTCGATTATCCAAGACAACGAATTCATCGCCAACATGTCTGACGTTAGAGACTTGGAGATCGCCATTATCGGCTCGGGCATGGGTGGCCTGGGAACCGCCCTCGCCTTGGCCAAACGAGGCTTCAAACACATCAATGTCTACGAGGCTGCCAGTAACCTCGGGTTTGTTGGAGCCGGTATTCAGATGGCTCCCAACATGGGGAGAATTCTTGACAGGCTGGGTTGCTGGGAGGGCATTGAGAAGGAGTCAACCTGTGTGGCAGGGAGCAGCATCAGACGTATACCTCAATCCATTCGCCTCTTCAGAACTTAACTAACACTGATTAGAGGGAGCCACAAATGTCGAACTTGCCCATGTCGATATGCCTGACATCAAGGCCAAGTATGGCTACTCTCACCTTTGTGGCCATCGATCCTCCTTGGCTGGCCACATGTATGAGGCGTGCAAAAAGGAGAGCAGTGTCAAGTTCCACTTCTCAAGCAGCCTACTGGAAATCACCGGCTTCTCCCCGAGGGTATCATTCAAGATCCAGCCCAGAGACTCGGAGCCTTACACGTGCCACGCTGACATTCTGCTCGGCGCCGACGGCATCAAGAGTGTGACACGAGCCCAGCTGCTCCAACAGGTGGGTGCCGAGCCTGAAGAGGCTGAGACTGGACAAGCTGCCTACAGAATCATGCTCAAGAGAGAGGACATGGCCCATGACCCAGAGCTTCTGGCTTTGCTTGACAGTGACGAGGTGGTTAGATGGGTTGGAGAGAAGCGTCACATCATTGCCTACTCCATCGCCAACAAGTCCATCTATAACCTGTCGACAGTCCAGCCAGATGAGAACTTTGCCACAGCTCCATCTATCACCTACACAACCAAGGGGTCGAAGAAGGTCATGCTCAAGGTCTTTGAGACCTTCTGCCCTCTTGTGCAAAAGATGCTCAACCTGGTCCCTGAAGGAGAGGTCTGCGAGTGGCGTCTGAGGATGTACAAGCCTCTGCCAACCTGGACACAAGGATCTGTCGCTCTTGTCGGAGACGCTTGTCATCCGACATTGCCGCATCTGAGCCAGGGAGCAGCCATGGCCATCGAGGACGGCTCGACAATCGCCGAGGTGCTGCTACAAGCCCCTGATGCTCGGCCCGAAACTCTCGCCAGATGCCTCAAGGTGTATGAACTGTCTCGGAAGGAGTGGACCTCCAACCTCGTCCAGATGGCATACATGTCCGGGCGAACGTTGCACCTGGGTGAGGGCAAGGCCAAGGAGGAGAGGGACAGGATGTTCAAGGAGCACAAGAGCAACGGCGCGGTGCCAGACAAGTGGGCATCACCAGACGTGCAAAAGATGATTTACACAAACGACTGCGTCGAAAAGGTCAGGGCGGAATTCGAGACACTCTTTGCCGGGGTGTAGTATCAGATCGGTTTGAGATCTGCGGCCAACACATGCACAACACACACAGCACATACTAGTCTGCATTCGTTCAGGTGAATTATATGATTAGAAGTTCGTGCTTTGATATCAAGGAAACAAGCAAAAAACAGCTGAATGAGTCCTTTCCAGGTACCTAATCAAAACGAAAACCCCAACGCCTTTAACATTCCAGTGAATTCTGCCCCATCTTCAGATGCGCCAACGCTGCGCTCGCCCCCTTAATCTCCTGCCTTTTGCGAAATAGGGCGCCCAATTGCCATCAAAATCTTGAGAGAATCTTGCGCAGTGTAGTGATGGTGATATCGCGGTGGTAGGTCTTTGCGTAGTCGGTTTTTTGTTTTGTTGTTTAGAAGAGGCAGTCCAAGCAGCAGCAGCAGGCTAGACCAGCGAGCAATCCAGTCATGAGGCCACCTCCGGAACCACCACCTCTCCTATCGTCTTCGGGATAGTAACCTTGAGGAGGAGGGCCACCGGGCTGGCCATAAGGACCTGGCTGAGGAGGATAGGGGCCCTGTCCAGCTGGGAAGGGACCTTGCTGCTGGTTGTAGTATCCCATCTGAGGGCCCTGCTGATAGTAGCCTTGCTGACCTGGCGGAGGGCCCTGCTGCTGCTGGTATGGATCTTGCTGATAGCCACCGTAAGTAGGCTGAGGGGCACCTGGGGGAGGGCCGTAGGCGGGCGGCTCGTCTTGCTTGTAGGCCATTGTGAAGCGGTGATGCGCTGTGTGACTCTGAAAAGGAGAGGGAGTGGTGGATTGCGACTAGGGAGCGCGTAGGAATGAGGGTCCGATCTGTGGTTCGCGAGAAAGGATAGGATATCAGTCGATATGAACAGAAGGAGAGATGTAGATATTGAGGAGACGAGACGAGACGAGGAGAAAGGAAAGACGACGGTGAGGAGAGGAAGCTCGTAACTAGTAGTAAAGTAAGTGTGTCTGGTGTCCGTCGGTCGGTGCTAAACTCTCCCTCTCACATGGCCCCTTGCACGCCACAGGCCGCGTTTGCGGGACTACGCGGCACCGGATTGGTGTGCGCAACGAGCTGCGCCACGCTTGGCCCTTCTGGGCCCGAACGCCCCCGTTCACCCAAAAGCTTGGCATCTCAACTCGGAGGGCGCTTGGAAGGCCTCCCACTGTGATTGCCAGCGCCAACGTGCATCTACAACGCTGACTTTTTGGAGATTTGAATGCACATTTGGTCGTCCTCGATGTGTTTCAAATTTCCACCGCTTCTTACACGAGCTATTTTCAAACCAACAGATGCATGGGACAGTCTCGGTTGGGCGAGTATACGAGTTCAACACTGCGCCACTCCATCGAGGCGCTTGTCGCTTCGTGCCGATATTCCCGTGGGAATCAGTGACGTTCTGGCTTGACAGAATGGCACGATTCCAAATCCGAAAGCGGCATACGCCTCCAAAGGTTCAACAAAAAGACTCGGACTTGATGTATCACACTACAATGGCTGGGCAGCTTCTCAGGGGCGGAATAACGTAGGCCCTGTGGCTGGTGCACATCATGTGACTTTGCTCCTTCGGAGCTGCTCTGTGGCTTGACACTTGCCCCACCACCGTTCAATCGCCGCACCACGAAAAAGTGATTAAATTCATCCATCACCGAGAAACCCCACGATCACGAACCGACGCCCCGACGAAGTTCTACGACGCATCCCTACGGCACCGCGAGAAAACGACGATATAGAAACAGTCGCCCGGATACGCTCGATTCATCATGGCTGCCGCCGTTGCGAACAAGCCCAAGTGAGTCCAGCGCAGTTCGGACTGGGGTATCGATATGCCCTCTGACTAACCCCACCATCAAACAGGCACGACTGGGCCGACGACGACGATATCGAGGAGACCTCCACCGAGCTCCCTCCCCCCCAGACCATCTCCAACAAGGACGGCACCAAGACTGTCATCACATACCGCTACAATGACGACGGCGAGAAGGTCAAGACGACTCGCCGCATCCGATTCATCACCCACACCGAGACCGTAAACCCCCGCGTCGCCGACCGAAAAACCTGGTCCAAGTTTGGCCTCAGCGCAAAGGATCCCCCAGGCCCTGCCCCCGATACCACATCCGTCGGTGAGAACATCATCTTCCGACCAAGCATCAACTGGCGCAAGGATGCCAAGGACGAGACGGCCGACCCCAACGCCCAGGCCATGAAGGACAAGCTCAAGGACAAGAAGGTCAAGTGTCGTATTTGCAATGGCGAGCATTTCACTGCCAGGTGTCCGTACAAGGACACCATGGCTCCCATCGGAGAGAGCGGCGCCGCCGACGTTGCCGCTGGCATGGGCGACGAGGCTGCTGCTGCTGCTGCCGCTGGTGGTGCTGGTGCCAAGAAGGGTTCATATGTGCCTCCTGCACTGCGTGGCACCGGAGGAGCTGGAGAGCGGATGGGATCCAAATTTGGAGAGAGGGACGACTTTGCTACGCTGCGCGTCACCAACGTGAGTGCTGCCGCCCCGAGACTGTTGCCTTGTATGCTGACTTTATACCACAGGTCTCCGAGATGGCCGAAGAGGGAGAGCTGCGCGATATGTTCGAGCGGTTCGGTCGTGTCACCCGAGTGTTCCTTGCCAAGGACCGGGAAACCGGCATGGCCAAGGGATTCGCCTTTATCAGCTTCGCAGACCGCGGCGACGCTGTCAAGGCCTGCGCAAAGATGGACGGATTTGGTTTCAAGCATCTCATTCTCCGGGTGGAGTTTGCCAAGAAGGCTCAGTAGGGATTTTAAATTCTTGTCGTCACGGGTTAGTTAGGGGGCACGGTAATGCATTGGTTGAGGGTTTCAACCTCATGATTCGACATCTGGGTATGGTTCTGAGATGGGGACACAAAAGTGATATTGCCTGCTTCGATTTGTGATTTTGGACGAGGCGAGAATGTCTGGGGACCAGATCGTTGAATGATTACTGTTGCATGACAAGTGCTGCGATATGCCTGTGACCAACCTGCGTCGTATCTGTCTGCTCGTGGGTCGTAGATGTCCATGTCGTTCAATTAGGCTCTGGAGAACCCTGGGCAGGTAAGCAGCCATGTTCAGGCCAAGAAAGCTTAGACTTGACAAGGGCCTGGTTATGATGGGGAAAGGCTTCTGCCCATGACTTGAAAGTGTATGTCCTCTGAAGCTGTTGAACACTTGGTTCCGCACTGTTGGAGCCAGCTCACCAAAGCTGTCTGCCAAACACCGACCAGGCTTCATTTCAACAAAGAAGAAAGTACCCAAGACAGAGAATAACACTTGTTTAGTAAAGCTGAAAGGTCTGTTCCAATCATCTCCGTTGCCTGGAGTTTGATGGTCCCTTTGCCTGGTTTCCCTTCTTTGAGGAAAAGGGAGTGGGAGGAATTGCCACGACCAAGCCCCTTTCTTACCAAACAACTTTGTCTGGTCAGGTACTTCAAGTATATTTTGATCAGGAACTTTAGTACCGTCCCAGCTTGCCACTTATTACTTCGTACATACCGAGATAGTCCAATGACCGAATAAAAACTCGATGACGAAATCAGAGAAGCCCAACAGAGTCACTAATCGTCTTTGATCCCCGATCGAAATTGCGGTGTCCTCTTAGTAGGGATAATGCACACCGAACTTGAACACTGCGAGCGGTGATTGACGTGTGGTATGCAAAAGGTCCAATGCATTGCCGAGGCCTTTCATCATGACATTCTGTTCTTCCAACTGGACGATTCGTAAAGCAGGGAACTGCAGACTTTAGCCGTGCCAATAGGGCTCCCTGAGAGTCGGCCCGTGACTCGACCCAAAGATAGGAATTATTTAGCGATTTCCTAGACTTGAGAATTATGTGAGTTGTTAAGAGCTCGTAATTTCAGGGGACTACCGCGAGCTAGTATCCTTGCCCACCAGCAGATGTCTCGACTCCGAGACGGGTGGAATATCAAGGAAGGAGAAAGAGATAGCAATTAAAAGATGACAACAGACCAGGGGCCAATAAGCTTCAGCTTCCCAACAACTCGTGAACCGCTTATTCTAGGATGAAAACTGGCTCAATAGCGGGGACGAGACACTGCGGGATAAATGTCTCTCTCGCCTCCAGCAGTCGGGTCAACGGGATTCATCGAGGCGGATTAGAAAAGGCCACTGTAAGATTAGCCATTGGCGTGTTTTGCTCTCAACAGATTCGACTAGCTCGTGAAAGCAAGGGTCGCAGGTCGAGACCCTTGAAGGCTTGATGACTAGGGCTTGGGGTGATGGACGATCGCGAGAGAGTCGCTTCCGGATCCAGCTCAGGGTCTCGTGCTCACGGCCTTGGGAGGGCTTCAGAGGTGAACAAGCGAGTCTGGGCTGGAATTGAGACTTTGACGGCAGCAACTTTGCAAACGTATCGAGTCACAATGACCTCAATGTTGACTTTGAATCTCAGCCCGTAGCAGGGCGAAGCATTGATCTGAGATGCTGCCTCTTTCCTCTCTGCTGCTCAGATTCACATGTGATTGTACCCCACGGATCTCGTTTAAATGAGGGTCCATTTTGTGTGCTGGCCTTCAAGGATCAGTGAGACGTGAAAGAAGCCACTGGACCTCTTCCATGGTCGAAGCTCACAGGAGTCGCATCCGAGCCCCCACCGCCGACTGGTGGGGTAGCTCCCGCGGTACCTATCGGGAGGCGTCCTCCATCACGGCGCCGGGCGCCGGCTGCAGTCCGTCTCTGCAGCGGCAGGGCAGGTTCCGGGTAGAATCGGCGTCGAGGAGCTGTCGTCGGTCGGGGTCATGTGAGGCCGTAGACGTCAGGAGATGTTCGGCAGAGCAATGGTTCGAGCAGGGAACTCATCCGATGGAGGCTCTGTTCCCAAGTAACGGACCGAGCAGGGAGGGCACGCGACTGAGGCGCCGAGAGGTGGAGAAGTTGATGGAAGTCCAAAGTCTTTCTTTGAGCGGTGTTTGGAGCCATTCCTAGCCCCACGCATTGAGTAAGGCTGGCGGGCTCCACGGTGTCACAGTGGGCTTAGCGGCTCCTGCTCCCATGCAGCGCTCACTCAGTGGCCCCAGGCCCCGTTGAACGGTTGCAGCAGGAGCTGCAGCCGGGAGGGAAACCACTCCCCGCCTGTATTAGAGGTGGCATGTGTTACACGGCGGGCAAGTCTGTCTGCCCGGGCTCTTTGCCTCCGTCAAGTTCTACCACACCCTCTTTCTTCCTTATTCGCATCCAATCCCACAGACCAAACAGATCAGCGACTAACCGCAAGCCCAGACGAACCTTCAAAGTCGCGCCATTGGTGGCTTCTTGCACGTTCTCCTGCAACAGGTCCGGGGAATAAATCGAGGCACAGCGCGGCTCCCCTGCTAAATCCCTCCTCTCCCTCCACTCACGACGCATCAGCTAGCCCCAGCTTCCAGCAGCTCAAGCTCCAGACCCTGTCCTGCCCTGTCGTGTCCAGTTCGGAGCAGACAGAGCAGAGCTCAACCAACTGGCCCCGTGCTCTTTCAGCGGAGCCCTGACGTCGTTTCGAGCGCACGAGGGGCCTCCCCAACAGTTGTCCGTTTCTAGGTTCCGTCCGGTCCTCACTCGCCATTTCTACTTTCTAAACCCTTTCTTTCTCTTTTCCCTTTGTCCTCAAGGGCGTCCAATTCATCAACAACGTTCCGTCAATTCAACATTGCTCTTCTGCTGAGCTCCAAGCAACCTCAGTCATGAGCACTGCCGCCGATCTGCCCTCCACCGGCCCTGGGCTTCGGCTTCGGCAGCCTGGGGTCGAGCCGTTGGTCGATCAAGACAAGCTCCCCTCACAACCAGGGCACAGTCGCGAGTCGTCAGATGCCAATGCCGATGCCAATGTGTCATCCGACAAGGCAAGCAAGACGTATGGACGAACCCCGGACGGCACAGGTACGCTTTGATCGTGGCAGAAGATGGTTTGTCGCGTTGGCTGACTTTCACATGTCAAAACAGTCTTCATTGTCCCCACCACTCATGACATGGTTTCTCAACTTCTTGATCCTCGACAACCAAAGAACTTTTCTGATGCAATTGTCTTGACTATCCTTGGACTTCACATCTTGGCTGCCTATTTCCTTCCCTCTTCCTACAAGCGCATCGTCTTTGCCTTTGTCTTTCTCTTCTGGCGAGCCTGCTACAACATCGGAATTGGCGTTCTCCTTCAGATTCAGTCAAACCATCGCCGTCTCGTCACTTGGGCTCGTCGCTGGAAGCTCTTTGAGAACCCTGCCACCGGCAAGAACCCCCGACCATGGCTCTACAACCTGCTCAAGAACGAGCTCGAGACAAAGATTGAGGAAGATTACGAGTTCGAAAAGGCCCCCATTGAGTACAACACATGGCTGGTCTTCCGGAGGGTAGTTGACTTGATCCTCATGTGTGATTTCGTATCCTACTGCCTCTTTGCAATCGTCTGTGGTCACAGCCCCGAGGGTGAGAACCCCCTGATTGGTTTCTCTCGATGGGCCATTGGCATCTCTCTCATCGGCTTCAACCTCTGGGTCAAATTGGACGCTCACCGCGTCGTCAAGGATTTTGCCTGGTACTGGGGAGATTTCTTCTACCTCATCGACCAGGACTTGACCTTTGACGGTGTCTTTGAGATGGCTCCCCACCCCATGTACTCGATCGGCTACGCGGGTTACTATGGCATCTCCATGATGGCCGCCAGCTACGAGGTGCTCTTCATCTCTATCCTCGCTCATTTGGCCCAGTTCGCCTTCCTCGTGATTGTTGAGAACCCTCACATTGAGAAGACCTACAACCCCCCGCCCCCTCGCAAGCGAACTGCCTCTGAGAGCCAAGGTGATGTTGTGCCCGCCGATGTCAAGTCGCTCGAGGGCGCATTCGATCAGCAGACTCTTGCCCCGACACACAAGGAATCGCCCGCCCCGGTCCACAACCTCGTTGGCTTGAACAACATTGACCTGTTCCGGGTTCCTGACTTTACCGTCATTGTTCTGCCATCCTATGTAGCTGTCCTCACCTTTGTGACGCCCGAAACCCCCGTCTGGCAAGCCATCTTTGTCCTCCACGCACTGGCGTGGCGCGTTTGGTATCATCTCGGCCTCGGCCTCATCCTGGATAAGCAGTCAAAGACCAAGATGTGGACGCGTCACTTCCTCAAGTTCGGCGAGAGTGCTGGCGAGGCTTGGCGTCAGTGGAAGGGCCTTCACCACATCAGTATGATCATGTGCAACACCGCCTTCATTGCTGCGTGCTGGAAGATGTACTCCCCCCCTGAGGACTGGGCCTACGGCTTGGTGATGCTCAAGCACGTTCTCGGTGCCGGACTGGTGGCCCTCCAGCTGTGGACTGCCTTTAGCGTCTATGACTCCCTTGGCGAGTTTGGATGGTTCTGTGGTGACTTCTTCTTTGACCAGCAGGCCAAGCTGACCTACAAGTCCATCTACCGATTCCTCAACAACCCTGACCGATTCTTTGGAACTGCTGGTGTCTGGGGCGCTGCGCTCATCACCTGGAGTCGATCCATCTTCCTCATGGCCCTGGTGACTCAGATCCTGACCGTCTTCTACATCTCGTACATCGAGCGACCGCACATGCAAAAGATCTACGGCCGGAGCCTTCGCAGAGAAGCAGGACTCACCAAGTTCATCAAGCGTTCGCTTCCCCCACCCGTCAAGGGATGGCAGGAGAGCGTCGACAAGGTGCTGGACGATACTACTCAATTTGTCGAAGACTTCCTCGATACTGCTCGACCCAAGTTTGCGGCTGGTGTCAAGACTATTGTCAGGGACACTTCGGCGCTGTTCAACATGGCCCCCGCCCGACTCACCATCACACGAATCGCTCCGGACTTGCAAGGCCACGATCCCAAGCTGTACTCCCTCTCAGTGCAGGGCACACCCTCGATGGGTACCTCTATTGACGACAAGTTCACTGGAAAGGAGAGTTTGACTGGCAGATTCCCCAAGCAAATCAAGACCATGATCTACGAGTACGGCGCGCCTCTTCGAGTCAAGTGGAGGGCACCCGCAGGCCACAGCAAGAAGGATTGGATCGGCCTTTACATGGTCACGGACAACCGTTCTAGGGAAACGACCGAGGTTCCATCTTTGGGACGCTGGGCACCTACAAATGCTGGCGTTTATGACTCTTTGACAGCCGATGTCAGCATCGCCGTGGAAGAGCATCCTGTTTCGACAACAGAGGCAACCGAGATCGACATGGTGGAAGGCGAGGTTGAATTCCGTGGAGACAAGCTGTGGTGGACACAAGGTGTTTTCGAATTCCGATACCACCATGATGGACACCACACTGCTCTCAGCATTTCCGAGCCCTTTGAGATCCGTATCAGCAAATTTGACGAGGAGGACGTTGATGTTGGTGCTAAGGGACTGTACGAGCAAGCAGTCGAGTCAGCTCTTCTGCCCGTCGTTCAGAACTGCCTGGACCGCGACCCTGATATCGCACCTAACCAGCCTGAGGAACCATTTGGTGGCCACGTTGAGCGAGACACAAAGTACGCCAAGAGAATTGTATATGCCATCCGAGAAATGTTTGGCATCGAGTTTGCACCACCTGTCGTGGCTGCAGACGGAAGTGTGAGGAAACTCGCATGGAGAGTCTCCAACGCAAAGGAGGTTTTGGTACGTGCAAAAAAATATTGATCCCATTGATTGTAGCTGGAGACTAACTGACTCTGTCCAGGCACCTTACAGCATGTCCCGCTCAAGAGGAACCACTACGCCTGCAATCCAAGATTTCCCTGCCGAGAAGGCCTGAGTTTAGGAGTGAGAAGAAGTTATGATTGGAGCGTCAAGAGTCTAGGAATGTGTTGTGTTGAAAAGGGGTGATGGCGGCGGGGTGAGTTCAAGATCCATATGATACCAGGAAAATGAATGTGATAAAAGACGAGGAAAAAGGGAGTAAATACGGGCTTGGACATTTTTCCAGCTATAGGAGTTGATACAAAAAAGACAATGGCATCTGGTGTTTATGACCATTTCTTTTGAGGAAGCTGTTGGGTGTAGAAGATGGTGGGCTGATGAAACACGCTTCATGATTCGTGGAATGATGTGAGAATGGAAGCGGCCGTGTCATGATGTGTGGCTCTGCTGCTGCTGCTGCGGCTGCTGATGGATGTCCATGAATGCAGGGCCCTCGGCCGTTGAACCCGCCCACCGGGATATGGTTAATTAAGAATGGAAATGGATGCATGTGAAACGGGCACATGATTCATACGTACGGACAGTGACCCGTTAAAACGTGGAATGGATGGATCTCAGATGTTGGGTGTCACTGCATCCATGGCATGGCACGGCATGGCATCGACCTGAGGGAGGCTTTTGCTGTGGCTGTTGAAGCTGTCACCAGCCCCTGTATGTTCTGTCTGTCTCAGGGCATCCACTGAAAAGAAGGGACAAACAATCCTCCTCAGCTTCAACCAAACTTGACTCTTCCACAGACACTCATTCTTACTCTCATTTCCTTTTATTCCCTTAACCCGCAATCGCTTCCTTCATCACCCGCTCCCCCCTCTCCACCTGCTCCGCATCAAACTCCATTCCATCCCATCCCATCCCCCCTGCAGCAACGTCGGCTAAAAGACCCCCTCCCCCTGTCCAGCCCATTCAGGCAATGCTAGAATCTTTAGCGCCGGATAGCTAGCGTGAAGGGTCAGGTTGCTTTTGCTTTGTCGTTGTTGAACCATCGTCGTCAACTTTCAAAAGAGTTCCCGATCTCCATTATCGACTTGCCGCTTTTAATACGCTCCCGAGAGCCGGAAATCACATCACACACATAATGGGGTTGCTTCACAGGCGGGCTTTCTCGTTAGGGAACCCCTTTCGGGACAACAGCACCGCGATGCTGGTCTCGACCCTGTTCTTCGCGGTGCCGGTATTTCTGCTAATGCTTCACTGCGCGTACCACACCCTTTACCGCGGGTATGCGCCTTGGGGCATGACCCACGGCTATTTGGAAGACCATGTGCTCTCGGAATCTTTCCTCTATGTGGCCTCCTACAGCGGGGTTGTCACTACGCTTAACATCACGGGCGTCAGGCAGCAAGGGGCCGCTGTCGTTGTTCTTCCACCTGTGTCGACAACCGAGGGATGTGCTGGGAGCCCGTCGTGGCTTGCACTAGCTGACCGGGACTCGCTTCTTTACTGTCTCGACGAGGGGCTGGAGGATGGCAAGAATGGCTCGCTCGTGTCCTTTAGGACAAACCGGGATGGGTCCTTGACGCCGTTAGACAAGGTGTCCACTGTCTTTGGGCCTGTCAGCGCTTCGTTGTATGGTGACCGAGGCCAAAGCCTTGTGGTGGCTCATTAGTATGTTACCCCTTTGTGATGAGGTCCAGAAGCTAACAGAGCATCCAGCGGTGGTTCAGCCCTTTCCACTTGGGACATCCGGGATCCAGCCAAGATATCTCCCATTCAAGTTCAAGAGTTTGAACTTACTAAACCAGGCCCGAATCCTTCCCGGCAAGAGGCACCACATCCTCATGCCGCGGTTGTTGACCCAAGTGGTCGATTTGTCCTGGTGCCAGATCTAGGCGCTGACCTCATTCGCGTATATCTTGTCGATCACGCGGGCCCTGGCTTGATAGAGCTTGGGCCTCTGGCCGTTGCTGCTGGCAGCGGGCCTCGACACATCGCCTTTGCTGTCAAGCACAAGACGTTCATGTATGCTGTTACCGAGTTGGGCAACACAATCGTCGGTTATGAGGTGGCGTACGGCCAAGACTCCATCGCTTTTGAGGAAATCTGGAAGAGTGGCGTCCACGGCAAGGACAAGGATGTGCCAGAGGGTGCGGCGGCTTCTGAAGTTGTCATCTCTGTAAGTGCCGACCTCTTGGTTTCTGGAGGATGGTTCAACGTCAGCTAACATTCTTCACACAGCCTGACATGAGATTTCTTATCCTCTCTTCTCGGAACGAGAATGCTCTCGAAGTGCCGAACTTTGATCCCGGCAACACCACGAGTATCGTCTCGGACCCACTCGTCAACTTCGAGATAGATGCTGAGACGGGTCACCTCAACCTACGTCAGGAGGTGCCTTGTGGAGGAGGGTTCCCTCGTCAGTTCACCATCAACAAGGCGGGAACCTTGGTTGCGGTGGCACTTCAGAGTGATGGCCGAGTTGTCGTCATGGAGAGAGATGTCAAAACAGGCTTGCTGGGCAAGTTTGTTGCGTATGCCGAAGTGGAAGGCGGAGTCACAGCTGTCGTGTTTAATGAGTGATCAGGCCATATTTCAAACAAAGTCAGCATTGATCGTCCCCCTTACGAGCGGTTCCGGTCCTCTTCCGTGATGCACCTTGTCTCTGTTGGGCGTGAGGGCATACATGAGAGTCATGTAACTGTCAGACGGCGCCGCCCACATTCCCGAGATGTGCGTCCTGTTAGAGTCGTTCAAGCATCAGCCGCATCCGCATTCGATCAGACGTCAATGCGTAGAACATCGCGTCCGGGTCGACGGCTTCCGAGGCCGATGAAGGATGAAGCCGAGCAAGTTGGGTTGCAGTGCCAGGGGCAGGTCGCCTTGCTCCGCTGCCATGTCCCCAGGTGATCGACCATCTCGGAGCTGTGGCGATCGTGCTATCTGCAGTTTTGATGCAGGGGGAACGCCCTGAAGCATGTTATAGCATCAGTGCATTAATGTTTCTTCCTTGCAGATACATACGAGCGGGATGAACTTGTTTCAAGGCAGCACACGGGGCTCTCGGAGCCGAGTACAGAAGCTTTCTACGGATCCATGCAAGACCCTTATTTTACTTCTACTACAGAACCGACTCGGAAGTTGGCAAGTTCCGATAACCCGGCAAGGTTCTATTCGCAGTTTTCAATAGTCCAACTCGTGGCTGGCAAGCCTTGTGAAGCAACGGTTGGGGTGCATAGACCCCGCCGAAGAAACTGTAGCCATGATGCGCGGTTGAGGTTTTCCGTGTGATGAGACTACAGCAGCTGCATGAGAGCAGGTTCGCAAAGACTCCTGAAGTTGTTGCGGTGAGCGCCGTGGCTGAGACTGTCGTTATCTTCAACATCGAGCGGCTGCTCAAAGGTTGGGTTGTCAACCCAAGTCAAGCTCCTTGAAGTCGCATTAGGCGTGAGCGTCAGCCCGCGTGTCGGTACTTGGACTGAGCGAAATGATCTGGGAGGCGTCAGTCAGACAACCTTGGCCAACCTTTTCCTCTGTTGGAGACAACGTGCCACACCCCAAGCTTCCCCGCAGGTTTGACAGGCATTCCGAACTGGACCAGCATCATGTTCAGCGCCCCCAGACCGGGAGGGGGTGCACTAGGGCCCCAGGTCGGCTACAGGCTGAGGATCGGATTGGGTAGGATTGCAAGGCTCTACCGAAGTTGCCCTCCTATTCGGGCCGTTCGTATGCTGCCATCGTGAGGACGACTCGCAGGACAGTGCGTTCAGATGCTGACCGGCGCCCATTGACGACCTATATTGCCCCAGCGTATTGCCTTGAGAAGAGGCTGTTGGCTCCATCGTAGCTTCATCAGCGTTCCCGTCTTTCCGACGATTCTTGAAGATCTCTGAGAGTTAAAGGACGAGACATGATCCGAGGTATCGTGATGGGTGGAGAGGTTTTTGGTCCCATGGCTCCCGAGTGACAGGGCACGGCTACTATCCGAGGCGATCATCAAGTACCCGAAGCAGCAAGGCTTGATTGACCACGAGGTCTAGACCAAAGCATCTCCATCTCGTCTGGTCAAGCTCTGCCAGACAAGGTACAGATGTTGCAAGACCGAGATACCAAGGAAGCTCACAACAGAGTCGCTTTGCGGTTTTAGCATCCAGTTGCCTCTAGCAACTGAGTTGTGTAATGAAAACTTTTAGATGAAAAGAAATTGGACAAAACCAAACAGTTCAAGGATGTGAAATGACGCAAGTTGGATGGATGGGACGGAGGAGAGCAGGTAAAGGAAGGTATGGCACCGTATACACTTGAGAGCGCACTGGGCTACAGCACGCTAACAACAGCAACATGTCGCGCATACTGCTGCACCCCAGGTGGATCCGGTCCCTGTAAATACAGTGCGGACGTCTCACAACGCACGTGCTTGGCTTCAGATTACAACTTTTGCCTTTCTTCATGCACGCTCTTTGACCTCAAACAACCTGGAACTCGAACATCCAAGATTGTGACAAGTCTCAAGAATATCCCGAGAAAAAAATGGAACGACGAGACTTTCAACGACCGTTCTCGCATGGCCAACTTCTCCACACACAACAACCCGCTGTGATATGACCGGCCCACCAATCCGTCCTTGAGGCGACCCTCCCTCATCAAAAGATTGTCCCCTACCTGGCTGCTTCAACGGGAACAACTGGCTCGGGCTGCCTCGTGCGGGTGATGACAAGCCTGGGCAAGGGGCGAGCGTCAAGCGGCCGATTCCAACTTAGCTTCTGGGGGACGGATCGGGCCAGTGCTCCAGAATGGCCAACGGAGTCTCGCGAAGCCGGCGAAACGAGAGGGCTTCCCCAGATTGGATCACCCGAGCTGCCATGATCAAGTCAAGACGAGACGGAACGAGACGAGACGAGACGACGGCATACACCACCACCATCATCATTGCCCAGAGCTGCGCCCGACACAATCGAGTCCAGCCAGTTCAGTCTTGCCCTCGGTTGTCATGCCATACCCTGCCTTGCCCTACCTACCTCGCGGGCTCTCCATGCTCCGTGGTCTTGGGACTCTGGGGGCCTGGCAGCCGTTGACTCGTCTAATTGGATCCCTCAAACACCCCCTGTGGTAGGCCAGCAAACGGTCCATTTCTCCAGAAGTTCCCAAATCGTTAAATCTCCTCCGCCGATTCTCCACCACCCTCTTCCACCGCCGGCCGCACCAGGGTCCGGGGTTGTCGAGTACAGTGGTAACAGAGTCCTCTCAGACCCTTGTCCTTGCCGCTCCCCCATACATAACCATAGCTCCTCCATTTCGGTCGTCGGACGGAACGCCTCTTGCGACGTCAAATATTTGAACATCGCAATGCCCTCATTGTAACGGTGACGCCTGGCATACATATACTTCGCTCTCAGGCTTGTCGCCCTTCTTGGAAGACACCACTAGTCGCCCGCTGTCAGCTTTGGCCTTGACTCTGCTCTGGAGCTTTCATCCCATCGCCTGACCCTCGTCTTACCGACCACCTCTCCTTTGCCTTGGCCCGAAATGTCGCCTCGCTGACAAACTCTCTGGGATTGTGCGCGCCTTCAGCTCTCTTCCCCTTTGAGACCGACCCAGCATCGACCTCATCCATTGCCGCACTCTGAACCAGAGGCAGCTACCCCATCTCGCCCTATTCGCATTACCACGTCATGTCTCCATCTTCGACGGGCGAATCTCCTCACTCAGCATCCATGACTGCTGCGGCCAGGCCGTTTGCCGTCCCTTCACGCGACAGCTTCTCGCTAGAAATTCCGGCGGCTTCACTCACAGCCATGTCCAACGAGTTAGGAATAAAATCCCCAGTTACTTTCAAGAACCAGCGCACAGCTAGTTTCAGCAGAGACACCATGTTGAGCTCAGCACAAAAACCCCGTCATCTATCCCAGTCATCTGAGAACAGAACCGATACAATGACCAACGGCACACAAAAACTCCCGAGTGATGAAGGCTCGAACCCGCTCAAGAGGAGGAATACCGAAACAGGTGTCGACTACCCTCGGCGCAGAGCCACCATCGCTGTGCGTTGCGACATGAACCCGCTGTTGCTCATTCCGCATGCTTACCATTCTCTAGTGCGAGGTTTGCCGTTCGAGAAAATCCCGCTGTGATGGGACTAAGCCCAAGTGCAAACTATGTACCGAGCTTGGTGCTGAATGCATCTATCGAGAGCCGGGTATCAAACTGGATGCCGGCGACAAGCTGATCCTCGAGCGGTTAAATCGTATCGAAAGCCTGCTGCAGATGAGTATGGTGAGCACATCACCAAACGGTCTTAACTTGACCCAAGACTCGCCTGGCATGAGCAATGGCACGGGGCTTAGTGGTGACAACCTTGTTATGGCCGTCAACCCCACCAACTTTGTCTCTATTCCCAACGGTGGATTTGGCACATGGTCCGCCCAGCCCATTGGAACCAACATCTCTACCATGCCCAAGGTTCACACCAACGCTGCTATGCATTTGTTGCAATGGCCTCTCATCAGAGATTTGGTTTCTCGGCCATATGATCCGCAAATACTCCTCCAGTTGGAAATGGCCCGAGAGCCGCTTCATTCTCTGACGAAAACTCCTTGCGTGGATCTCTCGAACACCCAGGCATATATCGAGGCTTACTTCGAGCGGGTCAACGTTTGGTACGCTTGCGTCAACCCTTACACCTGGAGAAGCCAGTACCGCACCGCCCTTTCCAACGGTTTCAGAGAAGGACCGGAGAGCTGCGTTGTACTTCTTGTTTTGGCACTTGGCCAAGCAAGTCTACATGGAAGCATATCCAGGATCGTCCCTCAAGAGGACCCACCTGGGTTGCAATACTTCACGGCGGCCTGGTCACTTCTTCCGGGCATGATGACCGCCAACAGCGTTGTTGCAGCCCAATGCCACCTACTTGCTGCTGCATATCACTTTTATCTGGTCCGGCCCATGGAAGCGTGGAACCTTCTCTGCACTACCAGCACGAAACTCCAGCTCCTCCTCATGGCACCGAGCCGCATCCCGAGCCATCAAAAAGAGCTTGTGGAGCGCATTTACTGGAACGCTCTCCTGTTCGAGAGTGACCTACTCGCAGAGCTCGACCTACCTCACTCGGGCGTGGTGCAATTTGAAGAAAACGTTGGCCTCCCGTGTGGATTCGAAGGTGAAGAGTCGGAGCAGGCCGTTGGGCGTGACGAGCTTTGGTACTTCCTTGCTGAGATTGCCCTGCGTCGACTCCTGAATAGAGTGAGCCAACTCATCTATTCGAAAGATTCGATCGCATCAACAACAAGTTTGGAGCCAGTTGTCGGGGAACTCGACTACCAGCTAACTCAGTGGTACGAAAGCCTGCCATTACCACTGCAGTTTCCCTTTACACGAACCGTCCTTCAGGACCCTATCCAAACGGTGCTTCGACTTCGGTTCTTCGCTTGCCGCACAATAATCTACCGACCATACATCCTGGCAGTATTGGACAATGAGCAGGCAGTTTTAGACCCTGCTGTGCGGGAGAACTGTCACAAATGTCTCGAGGCTTCCATCCGCCAGTTGGAACACATCCACGAACAGTACGTATCCCGAGCCCCTGTTTTGACTTTGCGATTAACATTCGATATAGTCATGCTGGACACATGCCATATATCTGGCAGGGGGCATTATCCATGGTCTCTCAAACTCTACTCATCATGGGCGCCAGCATGTCACCGTCCTTACTTGGCATCTTGCTGACATTGGTGCCCCATCGAGAAGCTCTGGATCAAATCATCAACGAGGTGGTCCTAGAGGTTGAACGATACGCAACCCTGGCTCCAAGTCTAAGCCTAGCCGCCGAGATCATCAAGGAAGCTGAGGTGAGAAGGCGAGCGTTTCTGGGAACCCCCTAGTCAGGCGGGCAGTTCCTAGTCTCGCAGGCAGTGCAAGCGCGTAACCAAGTGGTTTGCTTGGCGGTCCAGGACCAACTCACGGCCGGTTCGTGAGACCCCGCAGACCTGGTGTGCTTGCCCAACTCAGCCCTCGCCCACGGGGTTAATACGCGTACTTCATTGCATGAGGGCGGCCTCTTTCGATACGATTTCGTTCAAACGACAAAGGCACTGCCTTCTTTCGCTTCGAGTTGGAGGATTACGTGGCTGCGACATGACATTGCAACAAGCTTCTAGGCGGTGTCCCACAGGCTTATCGGCCCTGATCTCGAAGCCCCGAAAGTTGTCCGGGCGCAGCCCCTCGAACTGGGTGGCATTCTTGGGGATCATCCGGGGTGCATGCGTCTGGGTTAACTCAGTACCTGCGGAAGCGGCGGGGGAATGGAAATCGTTGGTTGGCTAGAAGGGTTCCCTAATACGGCTTTCCGGACCGCACACCCGAGACTGTCAACACCACAACGATATTTGTCTTCAAATGGAAGTTCTTAGTTGCATTATTTCCAGGGGTCTCGGTTATGGGTGGGCAAATTAGCAGGAAAGCAGGGCAGGTGCCAAACCTCGGTGTGTGTGGGAGGTTGGATGATGGAGTAAAGGTATCTCGGGTGGATTTCATGTCTATTTGCAAGTTGATGATGACGTCTTGGATGATTGCATCAATACCCATTTGATTGTTCCCGCCTACCATTAGCATCAGCATATACAATCAAAGGCCCTGGAAAGGCCTATATTTATGGTAACGAGCGTCTACTCTGACCGATGTCAATCTATCCCGTGTTCCAATGAGTTGGTTAGAGATGAAACAACGTTTCGGATGGGAGTAAAATCTCGGTTACCATGAAGGGGATCATGGTCATTTCCAGCCGAACAATTGACAAATGAGAGCTGATAGAAATCAGTCTGGGGCCCCAGATGCCGGAGACTCGAGTAAGCCCAGGGGTGACTGATTAGTCTTCCTCTGTAGATAGGCTCAGGAAACGTGATCTCGGGTACAGGCGGGCGAGTGCGGGGAGGGTCGGGACGAGACCGAGTCCCTGCAGACAATGAAGCGGCGCCGCCCGGGATCGGCAGTGACGGTGACATACTTTTTACCCGTCAACAATCCGGGGTGCCGGGCGCTGGCCGGACCGGGCCGAGGGGTCGCCCCACCCAGGATTCCCGGCCTCATGGGGACGGCCGATGCCTGATCCCCACGTCCGGCGGGCTCCCGTACCCTACTACGTAGTATGAAGATCCCAGGGGATTGTTTCATAATAAGGCAGACACGGACCCCATAAGGCATCCATCAATTGGGACGTGTTTTAACGGGGCTAATGGCTGCTTATTGCTGCCAGATATGAAAGGTAGTGTCGGCACTTGTCTGTCATCCATGCCTGAGCTATGTTCTGCATAATGTACACGACAGAGATGAATGACGATACATGTCAGACATGAGGCCTTGAATTCGACCTCATCCTGTGGGCAGGGCAGGATTTTGATCCATCTCGATGATTTGGAGGCGGCACAAGAATGGATACGTACCGTGCGTGCTGTGCAGTCGGCCAGCCACGTGACATCACACCGACAAAACAAATGCACCCACAGCAGCGCCGGCTCTCTAGACGCCAACGCCAGCCACCCAACCACGCGGGCTCGTTGGACAGGATTCTCGTCATAAAGAGCTTGACGCTCCCACGACTCGTATGATCCGGCTCGTACGGTGCTGCAGAGCATACGCAGGGTCCATGGATTCCTGGTCCTCAAGTCACTGACGCCGCCCACGACGTCGACATTCCTCACCAACCCACGCGGGGGAGGGGCTCATTGATTCGCCTTTGGCTGCCCGATGGCTGATGGGGTGACCCTGTGCTGGGTATAAACCGCGCCCAAACTTGGTCTGCCGCGTTTCCCAGCGGCCAGCAGACGCAGCAGAACCTAGGCAGGGGGGGAAATCGCTTGTCCACTTGATCTATTCGTCTTCTCCTCTCCCTTTCCACCGACAATTCCTGTTCGTCTTTCCTCTTGTCTCATCGTCCTCAAGATTAGCATTTCTGCCCTTGGACGACCCCCTCGAAAACCGCTTTCCGTCCCGTCTCGCGGCCCAACTTCCAAGGCTCGCATTTGGCCCTCACCCGACGTGACGCTGCGGTTGCCATGCATGATCAGCCCCCAGACTCCAATCAGCTTTTGGGGGGTGCAATTGCTCGCGCAGCGTGGTCTCCGTTGAGTGGTCCGACTCCGTCATCGCGACTACACTCGCCTGCCAGTGTGCTCCGACAGAGGAGCTAGTCTAGCCTCGGCCGCTTCGAGGCCCAACGCATACGTCCTTTCTGGGCCTTCCAATTCCTCAGAGGCGCCTCAAAATGAGGCTAGGATACGATCGAGACGTTGGCGATGGCCATCCCCGCCTCGTGCGTCGCAGGCCCCTCCGCCCCGAGTCTCGCGATTGGTATGGGCCTGCTGACGTCGTGGACTACCCGATGCCCCATCGGACACGTATCGAGGAGATACAAAGGCCCAGCAGACGGACGCCCAGGGGCTATGCGAAGAGCTCCAGGAGCTTGGATGCGTACCCGCCAACCATGATGCCGCCACCGCACTTGACACGGGCTTCAACAGATGCTTATAAGCGACGCCCTCAGCTTGCCGTCTATGAAGCAGAAGACGATGACGATGAATCCGACGAACGATGGCCGCCCATGAAGCCCCGGGGCCGCTATGCCGAACGGGCCCGACCCCGCCAGCCGCTCCGAAAACCGAGAGAGCCGACCCCGGAGTCGACACCTCCATCGGAGAGTGAAGAGAGTGATAGCGAGGAGGAAGACGACGACGATGACGATGATAGCGATGATAGCAATCAAATAGAAGTGGTGGTTGAAGAGGCGGATGACGACGACGATGATGACGATGATGAAGAAGAGGAGGAAGATCATAGACCACGCCCGAAACACCGACACCATCGACACCACCGACAAGTGAGCCGTGAAGAATATGTTACATCCTCGGATGAGAAAAGAAGACCAAGGCGGCAGAGAGTGCCCTCATCATCCACCTCTGACGAGATAGAAGTAACCTATGCTCGTCGTCAAGCCTCCTCCGAAAGAGGCTCCCCCGATCGGAGACCTTCTCTGAGACGTGAGGTCAGCGATATGCCCAGGCATAGCTTCCCGGCGAGGTACACAAGTGTAATTGGGACCACTCGGCCGCCTGTGTCGTCCAGGAGGTGAGTCGTGGACGCAGCCAAAACTGCAGGGCTCGTATTAATCAAGACCAGGACAACAAAGGTTTACGAATCACGAGAGCTAGTTCGCGAAAGTCGCCCTCGCCGGGCTGGTCCTATTCAGGTCATCAGGGAATCTAGGTCGTCTTCACGACGCCCTCCGAGCCTGGTGGGCAGCATGTTTGGAGACTCATCCCGGAATACATCTCCAGACCGGCCTGCTAAACTGTGAGTGCCCTCTACATGCCAATTCTTTGTAAGCTCTAACAAATTGTGCCTCCAGCCGTGATTGTAAAGGATGCCTAGACGAAGTTCCTGTATCGAGGTGTCCCAAACTTGACTGCGGTCACCGCATGTGCCACAACTGCCTCAGGCGACGGTTCAAGCAGTCCATGACAGATCCTTCGCAGATGCCCCCGAGCTGCTGCCACCCTGAGCCCATTGGCCTAGAATATGTCGACACGCTTTTCAATCCAGAGTTCAAGAAGATGTGGAACAAGAAGTATGTGGAATACTCGATTGGAAACCGACTTTATTGCCCCTCCAGGCGATGCGGAGAATGGATTCGCCCGGCAAATATCTATACCGACCGTGACACGGGACGCAAGGCTGCCCGTTGCGACCATTGCAACACCAAGGTCTGTGTTGCTTGCAATGGCCGGTGGCATTTCTCTAGCAAGTGCCCTAGGGACGACGAAACGGCGAGGTTCCTCGATTACGCTAGAGACGAAGGACAGAGGAGATGCCATAAGTGTGGCGCTCATGCTGAGGTCAGAGATGGCGAGAATCACGCAGCATGGTAAGACAATCCTAGACGACGTAAATTTGTCTGCTAACACAAGAATAGCCGATGCGGTGCCAACTTCTGTATTGTATGCGGACAAAAGCCCAAGAGATGCGAATGTCCTTGGTTCCGTCCCGACAACCCAGATTCTGATCAGGTTGATGATACGGATGGCCCTACCCTCGTACGCCGAGGTGATATCCGAGTCTTCCGCGAGGAGGCTCCAGCGCCGCCAGAGGAGAGGCGAGTCTCTCGACGAGCACGAGGATCTACCAAGCCTCGATCACGAATATATGATGAAGAAGCTCTCATGCGGAAGCAACAAGAGCAACAAGAGGATGAGTTAGCCCGTCGGTCGCAGTACTACAGCAAGGAGGATGAGTATGAGGCCATGGGAGACATCCCAGAGGAGGTTGGCGTTGAAAACCCACCACCGGGGCACTTGATGGACAAGTACCGTGGCACCGGCCGTAGAGTAGTTGGTGCTCCGCCTTCCCCGAACCGGCCAGGGTATGACAGGAACCCTCCTCCTGGAGAGTACTACTCCGGTAGTGACCATATGAGAGGGCCACCGATGGATAGACGACTGGCAGATCGATTCGCGGAACCCCGATATGGTCCAATGCCCCCGATGGAGCCCCCGGTTGGAATGATGCCGCCGGGCTTGATGCCACCACCGATCGGAATGCCGCCTCCGATCCGTGAGAGTGTGTACGGCGGAGGCATGGGACCTGACCGGGTTATCGTGGAGCGAGATCCAAACTACGACGATAACGACTCGTACTACAGCCACAGCTCCCGCAGCCGCAAAAGCGGGCGGCGCAGCGAAACACCCAAATCCTCCGAGCTGGCCGGACTAAGCGGGCGCGGCACGGGCATGGGTCGAGTAGATGTGTGGAGGAAGTTTGTCGAACCCGGAGATCCCGAAGGGGATCTGACTATTGCAGCCGCGTCAGCGTGAGCATTAGATGAGAAGTGCATGACGATTTATGAGGGATGGTGTTTTATTAACGGGTGTGAACAAGAAAGAAAGAGGTGGTTGGACGATAAAAGATTGATTGCATTATAGAGACTGGGTCGTTCCATCTGTCTTGGCTAGGTTTGAGTGGGATTTTGCATCTGGACTTGGATATGGGATAGGGCATTGGACAGAGGCCAACAGAACTAGCATTCTACCTTGAGAACTACTGTTACAATGTACAGTAGCTACTGATGGCATGGCATTGGCATGGATGGTTTGGTATGGATGACATGATGATGGCAGGGGGCATTGGAATGGGTGGTCGTTTGATTCTAGTCTTTTTCAGCTTGTCATGATTAATGCGGTGTCATTTCGTATTTGCTTTTTGAAAAAGAATAGAGGTGCTTCTAGATGGTGCTTGCATTTATTTATATTGCTTTGTATGCTGTCATGTTTCGAGAGTCTTGCAGTATCAGACGTTGAAAGGGTCCAGTCGCGTGACAGGGATGACCTCAGTTTTGAAGCTTGTTGAGAATAAGCCCAACAAAGAGATGCAGGATCGGAGCAGCCCGCGACTCCTGCCCAGGCTCTCCATGCCCGCGGTACCGCGGATTCTCTAGGTTGTATCGCGTGCTGTGGCTTCAGTGGTCTCCAGCGGCCCGCGTGATCAGTCCAGGACTCCTCATGGCCTGGAAGCCCCTAAATCGAAAAAGATGTCACTGGGGCCCCCGCCATGATCGAGGGTTCATGTGTGTCATTGGCTGTCGGGTGGCTTGCTCCCCCTCGACGTGGCCCCCGGGCGAAATTGAGGGCGACTGCTTTTGGCCGTTTTCTGGGAAGCTTGCCGTCATTGTACATTGCTCACAACGCTCTTTTACCCGTCCCGTCGTCTCTTATTCTCGTTTGCTCTAGGTCCCCCACCGACGTCGGGTCCTTCGGTCGGCCTGTTGCAAGACCCCGTCTGCCGTCATGATCGACGCCCCTCCTGTTACCATATCTCAAGCTCGTCTCCTTTACAGCCGACAATAATTTACACTACCAAGCAGATGTTATCCACGCCAGGCATGCTGACGTCAAAAGGCACCTTGTAGCCTCTCTCTTCCTCTCCCCTTCTCCCTCGATCGACATCACCTACATACAATACCTAACTACGCGTCACTCTCATTCGAGAAACCGCCCCTGCCGTCCTACCCTCGCACCTGGGTACATTCGCCTGCTGCCTGTGCAGCGCAGCGCACCGCCGTCACGATGCTCCTCCTCCACCAGGTCGGCAGCCTCAAGACGGGCGAGGTTGTCCGCTATACAGTGACATATACCCCATCCCAGGATCGAATCCTACCGTCCCCCGAGAAGCTCTACCTGCGCGTGCGCAATACTTCGGCCATTGCCCTCCGCGCCGCCTTCGTCCACGGACCCTATACCCTCTCCGTCGCCGCCTACCCCGCCGGCTTCAACCCCAACGAGAAGTTTGAACACCCCGAGGTCTATGGAGTTCCCGAGTTTGAGCCTATGGTCAAGGCTGGTGGCTCGTGGGAGTGCGAGCTGATGGTCCCTGAGAATATTCGACAGAGCGCTGGTCTTGGAAGTCATGGGGGCTTTGGCAAGGGCCCCGCTCACGACGATGAGTGCGCCAGCTGGGTTATTGAGGTGTCGTCGCAGGTCCTCTTCTCGACTTCGGCAGCTGTGGGCTTTGAGGTGGTGCTTGCGCGGGACTACAAGTCCCTGAACCTCAGCAGCTCAAGCCCCGTTGTTAGCGGGCAGACACAAGCGGCGCAACCAGGGAAGATTAGCGACCACCAGCAGAGCCCAGGCTCCAAGGACGGACATCACCCTGCGCAACAGCGCGGTATCTTCTCTCGCGCGATACGGGTCAAGGTGGAGGATACGGCGAGTCTGTGGAATACTCCTAAACTCCCAGAGTGGGAAGATCATAAGCATGAACACTTGCATGAACACTTACAGAAACTCCACAGCCAAGAGAAGCCCGCTGAGGGCGAGGTCAAGACAGGCGAACCACCTCCAACAGAAAAACCAAAGCAAAAGAAGATTCACATGGTGATTCTAACACACGGCCTGCACAGCAACCTTGGCGCCGATATGCTCTTTATGAAGGAGAGCATTGACGCAGCTGTCAGGCAAGCCAAGATCGATGCCAAGGCGCGGCGGGCCCGGGAGCGAGCTGTCAGAGGCCGAAATGGGGAAACAGGCGCCGAATCAGAATGCGCCGATACAAAAGACATGGACAAGACGGAGGGCGATGAGGATTCCGACGACGACGAAGAAGTGATTGTGCGTGGATACTCGGGCAACGCCACCAAGACTGAGCGCGGGATCAAGTATCTCGGGAAGAGGCTTGCTAGATATGTTCTCTCGATGACATTCCCAGATCAGCCCTTCCTACCGTCAGGAAAGGGGGCGACCGACACCATGGTCCATACCATCAAGGGGGACAAGGACGAGTCTGATCTAAAACCAGCACATAAACACAGCACAATCCAACTCGACAAGGAGGGGGCGCACCTTCACAAGGCAGAGAGGCCTTACAAAGTCACCAGCATCAGCTTTATTTCACACTCCCTAGGTGGACTTGTACAAACCTACGCCATCGCATACATACAGAAGCACTCACCTCAATTCTTCGATCTCATCAAGCCTATTAACTTTATCGCCCTGGCTACACCCTTTTTAGGACTCAGCAACGAGAACCCTCTGTACGTCAAGTTTGCTCTTGACTTTGGCCTTGTGGGCAGGACGGGCAAGGACCTCGGCCTGACATGGCGAGCGCCGACTCTCGCGCGGAGTGGATGGGGTGCCATCGTGGGCAACTTGGGAGAGACGGCCCATAAGAAGGTCTATGGAGAGTCGCAGCCCGAGTCGAAGCCCCTCTTGAGAATTCTACCGACTGGCCCTGCTCACACGGCGCTGAAGAAGTTTCGCAATCGGACTGTCTACTCGAATGTGGTCAACGATGGCATCGTGCCCCTTCGCACGAGTTGCCTCTTGTTCTTGGACTGGCAAGGACTCGGACGAGTTGAAAAAGCTCGGCGAGATGCTGGCTTGGTTGAGACGGTTGTTGGATTTGGATGGGCCGAGTTGACAGGCTCCAACCTTGCAGTCTCTCGCCAGAGGCAATTGGCGTTGGGAGATCGTCAAGCTGACTCGGGGTCAACGACACCTCGTGAAACTCATGAGAACATGCACGAGGTTCCACAACCGCCCAGCACGGCCATGATGGAGGATGACAGAGCGAGTCTACGGTCTGTGCCTACACCTTTCGACGATGCCCCGTCCGACTCGGCCGATTCAAACGGTAGCGGACCTCTAGCAGGATTCTTCAACTTCTTCAAGAGCAATGAACCGCCCAAGCCTCCTACCGTATCTCAAAAACAGAAAAAGATCCTTCGACGAAGTCAAACGATCAACTTTGACGAGCTCGGGGACACATCTGCTAGCGATTCAACCCCGAAACCATCGAGGGTAACATCTGGACACGAGGGCGAGGAGGGCATGACAGCTCCGCCGAGGACGACCATCTTTGAGTCTGCTGGGGACCTTCTCAACCCCAAGATGCCAGATACCGAGTACCTCATTGACCCTTCCAAGCGGCCGCGCACCATCTTCCATGACCGTGTCTATCACCCCTCTGACATCCCTGGGCCACCACTAAAGAAACGCCCAGCGACACTGGTGAGGAGAAAGACTGGCCAGCGCTCAAACTCATCGAGGACGGGGTCAATAAGCAGCACCGGCTCATCCCCTTATACCTCGATGAACCATGAGGATACGATGCAGTCAGCTAAGGACTATGACGACACGGCAAACACAAACCCCGACAAGGAGCCTCAGGAAATCATTGATACCTCGGCCATGCGCGTGGAGGAAAAGATTGCCAGGGCTTACCACAGAGATTTGTCTTGGCGAAAGGTCCTTGTCAAGGTGGAACCTGACGCGCACAACAATGTCTTTGTGCGACGCATGTTTGCCAATGCATACGGCTGGCCTGTCGTCAAGCACATGGTTGACGCGCACTTTAGTGACTCTGCTGCGTCACGCCTCCGCGATGAAGACGAGAGCAGTCGAGAAAGGGCACGAGACATGAACCAGCCCCCGGATGAGCACGGAGGTGAGATCAAGAACAGCCGAGATAATCTTGCGGGCATCACCCGGACGGCGAGCGAGAACCGGGAGGCCCTCGATGAGGTGCCAGACTTGCCCAAGGCACCACACTCGCGAGACAGCGACGCTTCAGCGGCCCAACGACCATCCCGACCGGATCGAGACGACTCGACCACGACCACATGGAGTGAGCGGGACTGGGTCGACAGCGAGTGTGATAGTGATCTGGACTTTGGAGGAGACGCGCGTGATCTGCCGCCTCCATCGCCGGTTCAGCAGGACAAGGGCAAGGAGGCGCAGAGGCGGAGCTCAAGCCCACTATCAGCCGGGTGGAACTGGGCGGAGAAGATTGTGGGCAAGGGGGCGACATCACGGGCAAAGAGTCCCGTGCATGAGAGCGGGCGGAGCTGAAGGGCGCCAATATTGGGGATTTTTTAAGATGAGGATTTTGGCAGAAGGGAGCAACAGTGTATAAAGGATAGAAGGCATCCATTGGCGGCGTAATGAGCGGTTCTTTGGCGCATCGCGGGTTGAATAAAAAGACGATAACTCCAGAAAATGTGCGGACGGCGAGAGGTTCCAGGTCTGCATGCACGAACAGGACAGGCCAATGTAGGTCTTAGATGGAGGAAAACGCCGACGATGAGATGTCTCAGGTACAGAGCCGTATTCTCGGATTCAAAAGACGGGGCTCCATTTTGAAGACAGTCTGGAGAAAAGGTGTCAGGCTAAGAAGCAAGTGAGTTTAGTCTGTGGGACTTTTGGGGAGGAAGTCTCCCTGCATATCAAGTCTGTGACGGCTTCAAGAGACTTTGAGGCTCGATCGAGATGGGCGTCGTTTGAGTCTAGACATTACAGATCCATGTTGAGTCTTGTTCAGAGTTGGTAGAGTGGTGTTTTGCCAACTCGAAAGACCTGATGAACTCAGGAGGTATATGGTGCTCAAGCCGGTATGGGCGTTGAGTGAGAACCGGTGATAAAGTGAGTAAGTCAACTAACTAACTTGACAGTTACAAATGATCCAGGCAAAAACAATCAATGGCTGTCATCAAGTTGGAAGCAAAAAATGAGAAACCTTCAAAAAGAAGGCATAACAGCGGGATCAAACCGCCTGAGTTGGACGAACAGGGAATCGAACCCTGGACCACTCCCAGATGATTCGGACAGAACATGCTAAGGGAGTATTATACCACTAAACCATTCGCCCGAGGGGATTGTTGTACGGTTGAGGGATTTTGGTCACTATGTTTGGTGGGTTTGAGCCAAGGTGGGAAGACGAGGTTCTGTGTGGTGGGGCTAAAGTGAATCGAGTGCCGAGATCGAGGCTGCAGAGCAAATCTCTTGGCCAGTAAAGACCAAGCTTTTTAGAAGAAAGGATGAAATAGTCAAGATTGGATGAATTTTTGTATAGAGTCCTTGACGTCGATGGATGAAATGGGAATAATACAACCTCCCCCACTGTGTCTTGATGATGAGGGGAGCAGACCGCATCTCTTGTTCTTGCACGTGTTGTAAAGAGCATCGAACCTTCCCCAACCATGACGACCATGTGCGTCACTCCGAAGGCCTCCAAGGTCAGAGCTTCAAAGCGAGCTAAACTCCATCCAAACCAGCAAAAAAATCCATCCACCGACCGGTTTCTAGTTCTGGCATCGTCGTCAGCTTCGCCACGACTCTAGATTTTTCCGATCAAGGGTTCTTGTTCTGTTGGGTCTTTTGCCTCACTATTTAAATACTTGTCTGTCTGTCTGTCGTGCTTCTTCCGTCGTTGTCTTGCGCCCCTCCGCCGACTACTCCCACCGCGCGCCGCCCGCCACCCCGCCAGCTTAGAATATCTCAGTCTATGATCGTCATGCTGCGATAAATCTCTGACGACTTTGCTGCGCCTCCCAGCTGGAACCTCTTCCTCTCCCTCTGAAGCCCACCGCGAGAAATACCACCCGACGCATCCGCCGAAACGCTTAGCAACATTCCCAATATTCCAACCTCGTCGCTGTCGCATACGGTGTGCGCCCAGGCAGCACCCACCCTCACCAAGCCATGAGGCTATTCCTCCTCCCGCTCTCAACGCGGAGGACGCTCCTGTACGCCAAGCGCGGTCGCATCAACAAGAACGACCACGGCTATGTCGACAGGGCCGCCGACTTCGCCGCAAAGAAGTGGGCTGAGTGGGAGAAGATGGAGTCTGGCTGGAAGCGCAAGGTGGTCGACTACGGTAACCACGCCTTTCGGCGCATCCCCTACGAGGAATGGGGTCTCAAATCGGTCCCGCCTCTGACTTCCCGCCGCCGCGCCGAAGAGCTAGAGGACCGCAAGAAGGTCGAGGTCGTCTTCCCATGGTCGATGATACCGCCCAACAATGCATTGGGTATCCTCAAGACTCTTGCTACGGAGCGGCAGGCGTTGCATCGCAAGCGCTTCATATGGTGCTGTATCGGCATGCCAATCACGATTCCATTCGCATTGGTGCCTGTGTAAGTGCCAATGCCCATGTCTTTCTTGTAATATGAGAGCTGACATTTCTAGAATCCCCAACCTCCCCTTCTTCTACCTCGTTTACAGAGCCTGGTCACATTACAGAGCCATTGCGGGTGGAAAGCACGTTCAATGGCTTATTGAGAACGAATTGCTCTACTCGGTGCCATCAAAGACGCTTGATGATCTTTATGCGCTTCACGCACCGCCCGCTGAGGAGCCAGATAACAAGGAGCGCACTCTTCTAACGCAGAAGGAGGTTCAGACCTTTTCAAAAACCCTCGACATGCCCGCACTCGAGGTTGAGCTCGAAAGGGCCATATGGCAGGTTGAGCAGTCACTCGAAGACCCGTCCGACAAGGGCCCCAACAAGGAGGAGGCAGCCGGCACAGCCTCTGAGAAACCAGGCTCCACTACTCCGGTGGAGGAGAAGAACAAGAAAGATGAATGAGTCAAAGACATGTACGCCTTGGACGATGTATGATAAAGAGTAATTGGCACGGCCTTTTTGGGGGGTTCATGGTTTTTGAAGTAAATGGGTTGTATAGATGGCGGCTTGAAAACAAAAACAGGCGTAGTACGCGGGTATATCCTATAGAAAACTCTCCCAACACCAGCAACACCAAAGCAGAAGAAGGCGGAGCAACAATCGCAAATCCCTAATCCATAAATATCACGCTCACGGTCCTCGTCGTCTTCCAATCTCAGTCATAAAGGCCCCGCCTGCCTCAGCATGTCACGGACCTTGAGGGCGGGCAGCATGCCCATGAGACCCATGGCCAGCAACATTCTCCTTGTCTTGAGGCATGAGAGATCTGGTAGTCGAAGACCACTGGCGATACGGTGGGCGTCTGAGAGGGAGAAGCTCATGCGGAGGGGGGGATAACAGTTCTAAGGGACGTCTTAGCATGTGTACCGCAATATTCTTCATATTATCGAAACTCACCTTTCCCTTGGATCCCTTTGCTAAAGCAGCAGCCGCTGCGCTCTCGTACTGAGCAACTTGGGCACTCAGCACATGTCCTCTCCACGCCTCGGCGGCCTTGACCCGAAGTAGCCGTTGAGTAAGAGTGTGTGATGCCGGGTGGTTCCTCCTCGTAGCCCGACCACGTCTCCGGCGCACGATGCGTCCAGGACCATAGTTGTTCTCGGGTCCATGGTTCGTGGGGTTGAGGGGGGAGGGAATGACGGGAGCGTACGACGACGCATCGCGGTAGGCAAAAGCAGCCATGGCCAGTATTCGTTTGTTGGAACGAAGAAGGAGGAATTGTAAAAAGCTCACGAGGGAGAATGTTGGAGTGGAATCGATGAAATGGAATTATCTTTCTCGAGGAGTTGAGGGAGAGTGAGTTGAGTGAGAGGGATGAAGCCAATTCTTTAAAACTAGGAGAGGGTCAGTCCTCTTTATTCAATTCCTCTGGACACCAAGAAATCGGATCACAAGCCATGTAATAAAAGATACAAGTGAGTAAAAAAGCCCTCTAGGGGCTGGAGACCCAACCCATCCATCAGGTAAAACATTGTGGTCTGGATCCGAAGGAATGTTGACAATCGCGTATAAGTCGCGAACCCCTCAGCCGCGACAATACACACATCATCGATCCATCCCACCTACCCACCCACACATGATCCATCCATCAGCTCTTTCGGGGCTTCTAGTCAGGTACGCCAGGGGTTTTCCCGACTCAGATTATCTGTGTGTTTTGAATGTATGCACGTCAATAAACCCAAAAAGCAAAAAAAGGAGTGAAGAAACAGAAGAGAGGGAGCAGTGGGGAATAAAGGCCAAGATTGTGACGAGACAGCGTAAAGTTTAGAGACGAGAGAACGCCGCGGCGAGACATTTGACTTCCCATGGTTAGTGTGGGTAGGTAAATGAATAGAGGCCCCAATGGTTCGCATTTTGATGGATCGGCCTTCTTTCTCTCTCTCTCCCTCCCTTGAGTATGGCGGGACTTGACCTTAGGTACCTAATAATCGCCTATACTATTGGCTTCCTCCCTCTCCACATTGTGCTCCTCTATGGGCTAATATCTCTCTTGTTCTTGCCCTGCCCTTCCCTTCCTTGGTCACAAGAGACATTGTCAATGGAGCTGGACAATGGAGCTGATTGCGGGACGCGATCCGAGCGAAGGCGAACAAAGGTTCAATTCAATTTACACGACGCGGCGAGACTCCTCCCCACACGCCGTCTAAATGGAAAGTCTGAGTTTCGCGATCGAGCTTATCTTATTAGAGAAAAACCTCAAGGGCATTCATCCATCCATCAGTGACTACTGTATCTAAGCGAGTGACCAAGCCGTCTCCAACGCCGACCCTTTGATTATTGTATTATTACCCAACGTGATGATGGATGCAAAAGTTGTATCTGTATAAGAACAGGGATCCAAGACGGATTCAAGAAAAGGTAGGGGGAAAAACGACCGTCTTGTCTTTTTACGAGATAAAGGTTGCTTCGGTAAAGATGGTGCCCTCCTCGACGATCTCCTGGTCGCCGATCTTGAGCTTCAAGGGAAGCTTCGGGTGGTACTATACGGCCGAGTCAGCAAGGGATATGGCGCATTATCGGATCATGCGGAAATTAATTCAACAAACCTGATAGATGTAGGGCTTGGTTCCAGCTGCCGCTGCAACAATCGTCTTGACAAAACCAGGCACCTCGGCCATGACATCGACGCGGTCAACGCGCTCTTCCAAAGGTCCCTCGGAGGACGCCTCGATGGTCTTGCCGTCCTTGTCCGTGCCCGACCAGGTGTACTTGGCATGGCTCGGCTCCGGCCAGTCATTCTCCGAGTCGTTCTTAACCTGCGTGTGAGTGGCCGTGTTCTTGGAGCCTCCAATGAGGATCTCGCCGTCCTTGGCGATGCCGCCGACGTTGACGAGCGTGGAGCCGTAAGAGGGAGTGCTGGTGAACTCCATCATGACGGCCGAGTAGGTGGGGCCCTGGAAGTTGACAAAGTTCCACCGGCTAGCGGCGTGGTGAGGCTTCATGCCCTGGAGGGCGTAGACATAAAAGCCACGGCCCTTGAAATCAAGGGGACCCTCATCGGTGGTGATGGTGCCCTCGGCCACGCATCGCGGCCAAAAGACATGTCGCATGGAACCCCATGGGTTCTCGAGGTCAGTGCCATACAGAGTCTTTCCGGTGGCGCCGGCCTGGAAGCCGGGAGAGGTGCGGGTGAGCTTGAGGTTGACGATGGCCCGCTCGTCGTTCATGCTCTTGATGGTATAAAAGGTGCCATCCTCGGACAGCTCGACGGCGAGGTCGTCGGCGTAGAAGCTCGCCATGTCCTCGCTAAAGTCATGGTTGCTGAGGGGTGTCGAGCACCAGAGGATGGGCTTGGAGCGGTCGGGGTAAAAGACTTTGCAGTTGAACTGGCAGGTTGTGCGGATGCCGCTTTTGTTTCCATGTTAGCCGGTATGTACAGTATAAACGGGCACGGCGCACATACACAACATTGCTGTAGATGACCTGGAGGAGAGCGACGTGGTTGTTCTCGCCAAAGATGTAGATGGTCTGAGTCTCAACCGACGTCGAGTCCATGGCCTGCCATTTCAGGTCTTCACGCTTAGACTCGGTGAAGGGCGTCGTCTCGGTCTCGACGGCGACCGACTTGATGGCCTCGGGGCCATAGATGGGCTCCTGGGTACCGGCGACATTGGCCAGCCTAGAGCAAGAATCCAATCGTCAGTTTTTTCTGCTGTTTTTTTAGGTCAAGATGAAGGCAGCTGAACTGAACCAGGGTCCAAGCCAAGGTGGGGTTTGGATGGGTGAGGCGTTTCTTACTGCTGCTTGGCCCAGTTGAACATGATGAAGGTATTCTCGCACGGCACTGGATATTTTGGAGCAATAGGGGAGCAGAGGAACAAGAAACTCGACGGGTTCGGCGGAGAAAGGATGTGATGATGGGTCGAGAAATGCTGGGGGAGGTCCCAATTAAGAGTCTTTGAATCGATGGGGATGGATGGATGTCACTTACTCTCACACCGCTGGGGGCATGGTACCTACAGCCTTAGGTTTCTTTTGTGGCTTGACTTGATGCAACCTTGGAGGGGTCAATCATGGAGCATGGGAGTGAGGGCCGAGCGGAGTGTGGCTGAAGCCGTGGGGCCCTCAGCCATAATGACGTGTGTGAGGTGAGAAAACGCGTATTCGAGACGCGTTTTTTCTTACTCGGATCTAAAGGTGCTGGGGGAGGTTGATGACAAGACATACGTTTCCGGTCATTGTTTTCTCTCCATCCAGCCCAGGCAGACGCGGGGAGATTATGCGCCACACTTTGCTCTCGGCCTGGTGGACTTGGTAGTCACTCCGTGCCTTCCGGAATTTGCGGGAGGCCTCGTGGACTCAGCAACGGCCGGTCCCTCAAAAGTAATCTCAGCCATGCCCAATTACATGGTTCTCGTCGCCTTACCCTAGAGGCGCCGAGTCGTCCCAGCAGATCCGGTCAAGAAAAGGCGAATAGGGGCGCTGGGAAAGTGGTACAGGCAGGCATTCTTCGGGGCTCGGCTGTTTGATGCTTGTTTCTTATTTGAACTTCGACGTTACGTCACAATGCCTATGGCCGTGGGAAGGTGAAATTAGTCTCAGCAATGACCAGATCATGCATTCTGTATGCATCCATCTTCCACTACCCCGAGTCCGCTTACACACGACAGCAACCAGTTTGACGGCTTCTACTAATTACTGAACGTCATCACAAGAAGGCATAGCATCAGGCCATTCTGAAAAATTACCAAAAAGGGGCCGACCAACAGAGGGAGGCCAAATCAACGAAATCACTTGCTGCGGATCCCCATCACGAGGGCAGAAAGAGATTTGGGCTCGGCCAGCTGGCGCCCCCCCCCTGGGAAATTGTCGGCCTGTCTGGAAGGCCTCGACGAGGAACCAGGGACTAATAAGTAATAAACCCCACAGGCTGACGGGAGATGGCAATTAAGAATTCTCGTCGATCGATGAGTTTTTGTGTCTCGGCGCGTCCTTGAAGACAGGACGATGAGATCTCGGAGCGCGTGATCTATGATGGCAGCTCTTATACGATTACCAAGACAAGACGGTTTGTCAGATCCGGTATTACCTAGGAATACGAATACTCCCGACTCGCTGGACGGAGTTGCAGTAGAGTACCTAGGTTGTAGGAAGCCGGCCAGTCAGTCAGACAGGCCACATTGCGGAGGGGACAGTAATAATTGCTTGTGTAACGGCCAGCTGTCCAATCAGCAAGTCCCTAAACCTCCCAAGGCTCTTGCTGCAGCCAAAAAAAAACAAAAGTCTGCAACTCTATTGCTCACTCGGCGTGTCGGCCCTTTAATACTAACAATCGTTCACTGAGACTCGGTCGCTGATCAGTGCGCGCGCGCCGCCGTCTCTCAGCTTAGGGGCCCCGGGGAATGTTGATTTTCCAGATCACGCTTGCTCTCTTCTTCAGCTTTCTCATCTCATCTCATCGCATCACATCAAATCATCCATTCAACGCGACATCGCTTCACCTCGCTTCGTCGACACTGCACACCCCCTGCTGGCGCCGACCATCACTTTTCTTTGGCTCTCTGTTTGGCAAGACGTAGCCTATTCCCCGGCTTATTCGCGTCCACTCGCTGTCTCTCAAGCCCGTCCCTGACGCCCGCGCGGCCGCAGGTTGATCAATCTTATCAGCGCGCGGCTACATCTTGATCGATAACGCACTTATCCAGACTACGTATCTCGCAGCAAGCTGCTCTGCAGTGGGGGCGCCAGGTACATATCCGAACCATGGAACCCACGGGCATGACGACCTCGTCGTCAATGGAGGATGAGCTGCAACAGACGACAACTCAACAAGATCACGACCCCAACGGTGCACCACCAGGTCTCGCAGACATTGCAGCAATCTGCGCAGCTTCTGAGAAACTAAGGTACGGAATTATGTCTCTCTGGATGTTATCATGTCGCGATTGTCACACAAAGCCCAAGCTCAACTTCAAGCGACTCGAACCCTTGGCCGTTTACTATCCGTCTGACATAGCACTTACTAACACGTATCCATAGAACATTGTGTGAGCCATATCCATCACTTGGGATGTCTCCTAGCGCACCGCACAGCGCTGCATCGCCAGCTGCAGCACCACCAGCCGCATCGCAAGCTGTTGCATCGCCAGCAGTCGCGCCGCCCACCGCCACATCGCATGCCGCGACGAGTGGGGGTTCCGGTAGTAACCTGGTGAGTCCAGATTGATTTCTTATGTCATCATCTTATCAGTCCCTTCCCGAGATCACACTCCTGGGCCTCCTTCACGACCATCGACCCACGGTTTCCATGTCACCTGGACCGCAAACTTATTACACAAGGGAGCGAGCTCCGAGTGCCCATGCTCCGTGGTGTCCTGGGGTGGCCCACTGCTGTTCACCGTCTTATCGCGGCCGATTGATATGGTCACGTGAAACAGCATATCCTTGATGACACTAAGCCTATCATGGGTTCGAGTGGGCCCCTCCTGTGGGCTTATCAAGCCAGTTACGTTGCAGCCAAAGAATTTTACTCCATCCTCTTATCGTGGTCGAGATAATAATCATCGCCCTCCCTCCCGCTTCGCCTTGGACTTCATCTTCAACAACCGGCGTCATGATGGCAACTAACGGATCAACGCAGCCAACCTGCCAAAACTGCAGCACTTCGACCACGCCGTTATGGCGCCGCGACGAATTTGGCTCCGTCTTGTGCAATGCCTGCGGTCTGTTCCTCAAGCTCCACGGCCGCCCTAGGCCAATCTCTCTAAAGACGGACGTTATCAAGAGCCGCAATCGCGTCAAGACGATGCGCCCGGACTTGGCGAACAAAAAAAAGGTGAGTTTGTTTGCATTCGACACAATACCCCTTACTGACCCCTTCTGGCAATAGCAACAACAACAGTTACAACAGCAGCAGCAACAGCAAGCCCAGAACTTCGTCTCCGCTGATCCCAACGGTGTTGACATTACCGGACAAACTGCTGCCGCCGCGGCGCATGCTGCTCAGGCCGCCCGACGAACATCACAAAAGTCAGCCAATGGGCATGATGGATCCGACTCTCCGATCTCGCGCACCGGAACCCCCTCGATGTATTCGCATAGCCTCTCTTCCTTTATGGTCGAAGACCCATACCAGACTGGCTACGTCGCTACAGGGGAAGGCCGAGCTACATCCCCCCTAAATGGAGACCGCAAGATGGAGGCCCCACAGACCCATGAACAGCTTATCGCTCACAACTCGAGCTTGAAGACTCGAGTCAGTGAGCTTGAAGTTATCATTGAGCTTTTCCGAGGTCGCCTGAGCCAGCTGGAGCAGCAAGAGGCTGTCGCGCGAAGTGGTCAACAAGTCGCAGGCGCAGAACAGACCCAGCTGCGTTCTCAACTGGAAGCCACTAGAGAAAGCGAAGCGCAATTGCGCGCGCAGCTCGAGGATAGCCACAGAAGAGAAAACAGCTTGAAGCGACGACTGGATGACCTCGAACTTGAGCTTAAGGCAGCCCAAGACGCTAGAGAGGCTCTGGAAGAGCGCCCAGCCAAGAAACCCCGCATTGCCGAAGTACAGATTAAGGATGAGGTTGCGGCGGGCATTGAGGCTGCTGCTGAGGCCCTGCTGGCTGCCGAGGCAGTTAAGCCAACCGAGCCCACTGCTACGGAACCTGCTCCAGCTCCTGCTGTCGAAGCTCCTGAAGCACCTGCGGTGTCCCAAGCACCCGAAGTAGCTCAGCCTTCAGAAACAGCCGAGGCCCCTGTCGCGACTGAGACAGTAGATGTCCCTGTCGCGGCTGAAGCCACCGAAGCCACCTCCACTGCTGAAGCCACTGAAACTTCGGAGAGCAAAGAAGTGACCAAGGTGTCGGAAGACATCGAGATTCCTGACGCGCCCGCCGCATCAGAGGTATCCGCGCTAGAGGCATCTGCCCCTGAGACCACCGAAAAAGTGGAAGCAACTGAGCCTGCAATCGCAGCAACAGCATGATAAGAGTGACGTTGCGCATCATCTTGACTATCAGCATGTCGCACGCAGCTGACGCTGGAACGTCGAATTCGGTTCCACTGTCATTGTATCAATACCTGTGTCGGCGGCGCATCAATGCAACTAGCCTCACAAGATGCGACGGCGACGACGGATGATATAATATTTCCGCATCGTTTACTCTTAATTGCTTTATACCCTTGTTCGAGAGGCGTCGGGCGCTCTCACTTTTGTTTTCATGTTATACCTCGGAAGGGGCAGTGGTAGCGAGGAATCTGGCGTTGAGGCCAACTTGTTTTGATTGTGCGAGACAATTGGGGAGCACACACATGGTTTTTTAATGGGACGATGATGATCTCAAGTTTGCTGGGCCCTTCTTTTTTTTTTCAATCGATTGACTGATGGGTTACCAACTACGTAGTACGGGCGACTTGGGAACATGTCGCGCCTGGTCGAAGGCATCATGGAGTTGAGGCTGGCTTACTGGCTTCCTCTGGAGGCTGTGTACGGTTGGGGATTTGAGAAGTGCGCACATTGACCTAGGCTACGAAAAGTTACGCTGCTTGCGAAATGATACAAAATATTCGATCTTGTTGACATGGATTTTGACCGTATTTGTTATGCTGATGTATAGAATCTATGTCTTGATATGGAGAACTCACGCTACAACTACCTAGGTATTTGAACAAAGTACACGATTATTACATAATCCGTCCATGTTGCTCTCACTCACTGCTCGTATATGAAGGTACCTGCTTATCCATGCGTTCTTCTAAACGTATGGTCTTGTAGCGATATAATTCGCTAGACGTGCAAATGGTTTGCATCCATGTTGACTCCTGTTTGCTGTGAAGGTGTTCGTGGTTGCTTGCATAGTGAGGTCACGTGCAGTTCTTTCGCAGATGGGCCTCCCGTCTGCTTGAACCTTAGGTAGGCTTTAGGGTGTGATACGACAGTTCTCTCCCCTCCAACGGCGCCTAAAGCTCGCCACCTCTCTCTCTCTTTGTTATTCTGGAAAACAAGACACTCCGGAATTAAATACCTACATACCTGTCACATTTGGTATTTATTACTCGGAGCCTTTTATAATCGCTTTTTCCTTCACCAAGCTTTTTTTCTTTTTTTTCTTGAGACGCATTTGCTCGCACAAACCATTTCGCGCCAGCCGACTGCAGATCAAACCCAAAAGCTTCTTTTATCGACAACATCTTTTGACCATGCCTCCCACCGCGGCGACTCGCGGGGGTCCTGGGTTGAGGACGATGAATCCTTTGAATCCTCCGGTGCGCAGAGGTGTGGCTCACAAGCCTGGGATGGGTCGGGGGCCGGGCGGGAAGACCCTACCCGGGACGAAGAGACACCGGTGAGACTTTACAAGATGTTGACGTCGCTCAGGGTAGATGCTAATGATCTCATCATAGAAAGGTTCTAAAGGACAGTATCTTCGGAGTTAGTAAGTGCCATCTCACTTGTTTATGCATGGACGCGTCGCTAACATTGTACAGCCAAACCTGCTATCCGGTGAGCTTGACTGCTGTTGGAGGGGAGACTGATCACCAACCTCAAGTCTTCTCTCCAAGAACTACAAATTACTGACTGAGACATTAGACGACTTGCGCGCCGCGGTGGTGTAAAGCGTATCTCTGCCGATATCTACGATGAATCGAGAAAAGTTCTCAAAACTTTCCTCACAAGCGTCAGTAGCCCATCTGTCTTGGATACTTCTGACCCCCGACACTGACATTCAAGCAGGTTATTCGTGATTGCATCATCTACGTCGAGTACAGGAACGCAAAGACTGTCACTATCAGTGACGTATGTTAACCCAAGCAACTTCCACACTGGAGCTCTGCTGATCTGGCGACTAGGTCATTCACAGCCTGAGACGCATCGGCCGTCCCATCTACGGGTTTGACCCAGACACGGCAGAGAACAAGGCAAAGAGGCACAACGCTCACCAACCTCTTCGATACCGCTAAGGGACCCAGGCTTGTAGTAAGCCATCATGTACATGACATGAGATGACGCAACGGGGGGAGTTTACCGGCGCACGGGGGAACAAAACTGTTTCTGTCATTTGGAATTCTGTCTGTCAAATCTTGCGGGCGTGTTTGGCACCGAGATGGACACAAGAGAGGTTGGGCATTTCAACTTCTGGAGGGTAATTTGGACGTTGAAGAACAAAGGGAAAGGAACTGGCATTCTGTTTGAGTTGAGAGATCAGAGATTGTTATTAGCACCAGGTCCATCATGAATGACATGACATGACCCAATGAATTATGAGCTTCTTCTTTAACGAAAGAAATAGGTATGGGGTATCTCAAGTGACAGTACAAGTAGGTATCCAAAAAAAAAAATATAGCAAGCAAGCTCCCGCAATTACGTGCTTCTTCCACTGGCGTAAAGCCTCCATCTGGTATAACCTCCACCTGGTATAACCTCCACCTGGTATAACCTCCACCTGGTATCGCCTCCACCTGGTTGGTGGTATAGTTTCCTCGAGTCTCAGTCATGACTCTTCTTCTAGTGGTATCTGTATATAGTTTGTTTGTTTGTTGATTATAACCGCGTCTTTCCGTCGATAGTGTCGTCTCCTGGACTTTACATCACTCCATCGTCATCGGTTTCATTCTCCGTCTCTTCCTCCTCATCGTCTCACATTGGTCGCCTTTTCTCCATGATGAATTCGTTGTTTAGGACCTTTCGTGTCCTCGTCATGTTGTTGTTTCGTGCCATGGCTGCGTTTACCTCCTTCTCTTGAACATGTCCCAGTCGGCCAGAACTCCGTCCAGAGCCTTGGTGGCCCGCACCTCGTCCCTACGGAAGGGCGCGTTGAAGATACCGGGGAGAAGCATGGCACTGTTGGCGTGCTCCTGGGCGAAGCCGATCTCGGCGTCCTTGCCGCAACGCTCCTTGGTCATGCGAACGGCCTCATGGAGGAGATCCTTGCCAACACCCTTTCCACGGTAGTGGAGGTTGGTAGTCCACGCGCGGATGACACCCTTTCCACCACGGAGCGAGAGAGATCGTCTGCGTCTGTGGCCAGAGGTCGGGTTTGGTTCGAGACGCAGGACGAGCGTTCCGACGATGTCATCGTTGATGCGAGCAGCAAGCAGGGTATCCTCCTCACCATCGTCGGCCCGCAGCCAGTTCCAGCGCAGTCGTTCAGCCAGGGAGATGTATCCACTTGCTAGGTATCGGATCCCCATGAGGTAACTCATGATGACACCGCAGGAGATAGTCATACTAAGGCCGGGGTCGAGACGAGAGACGCCCCCGAGGTGGTAAATGGCAGCGAGGGTAGTAGACAGACCGGCGAGGCATAGTGGGTGAAAGACGAGGTTCAACGAGGCTCGCTGACGCATCTGGGCAATGGAGTCGGCCACCAGGCGAAGACCCTCGATCTTGTCCTGAGGCTTGTCGAGAACCTCGAGGGAAAGTGGTTCAATGTCATCGTCGTCATCGAAGCCGCAGAATGGACCGTGGGCGGCAAGCGGAGAGGGCGATGGCGGGACATAGGAGGAGAACGGGACTGAAGGACCGAGTTGTGGAGAGTTGGTCGCCGAGGTCATGGCCGAGTGAAGGACAAGATTGGCGCGGAGGAATGTGAAGAAGGCTGCGGGCCGAAGTGTTAGCTTTGGCTACAAATGTGTCCCGTCGAGGCCATTTCCAAAACGGTGAAGCGGAAGACCAAGCTCCAAGACAAGAGTTGTTTCAAGCTATCCACCAATGCCATTTCTGAGACCGCCTGCCTTACAAGGACACCATTACAAGCTTCAAGGCAAGGTCTGACTGTGACTCAAGCTCATCGCTTGAGCTTGTCGTCTAGGTTGACCTTGACCTTGAAACTCATGACAGGGGGTCCTTGGTGGTGGTGGCCGAGGTAACGAAGTGACAGGGGATCGAGACAAGCGAAAAAACTCGGGTCCAAGAAGACAAGGGTCCAATCCAACCGCAGCCAAGACGAGTAAGAAAAGAAAAGAAATGAAATACGACAACAACGATAGGCAGAAGGATTGTTGGGGAGAAACTCACCAGCACTCGTCTTGAGCACGGGGACAGCACCGACTCGGTCTGCCATGGTGCTTGGGTGGCAGGTCCTCAGATCGAGCTCTCTGATAGCGATATGGTGAGGACCCTCCATGGTTGTGTAGGTGGTCATGATGGCTGTGGGTAAGAAGGTATTAAAGAAGCAGAAAGAGAACAAGTACAAGGGAGAGATAATAGAGAAGGAAACCAGCCTCCAAGAACAAGTGTGTAGACTGGACAAGCAAGAGATGGTGCAAGAAGAACAAGATGGGTATCAGTAATAGTAATAGTAGGTGTGTATGATAATGTCAAGAGATGAAGTGAGAGAGAAGAGGGAGAGCAAGAAAGAAGTAGGGGTGGAATCTGGGGGATCAAGAAGAAATTTCAAAGTTTTGGATCTCGAGGCATTGGTCGTCAGCTCTTTGTTCTGGGCGACCCGACGCTCTGGTGGCCGTAGCGCCCTTTGCCCTTTGGCCTCTCGAATGCAACACACTCTGCATTAGAATCCTTGCATCTTTTGCGGCGCTGACACGGCCTTGCGAGCCCGGATCCCTGGGCTGGGAGGGTCTTCCTTGTCCCTTGTCTCTCTTCCCAACCTCTGACGGCGACTGAGATTGTCGTCCAGGTAGTGCCAAGCCTAGCACGTATGCGGTTTGCTCCCATGTGGTGGTTGCGTGACAGTCGACGCTATTCTGTGACCGATATCGTCCTGTGCTGCCCGCGCGGCATGGTCGTCCTCCTGTGCAGCAGTAGCTTGAATTTGGCACGTCACGTCAACGAGCCCTCCTCCTCATCCTCCCCTCAACCTCCTCTTCTGTGTCTCTTATCTCCATCACCTCCTCCAATCATGCTTCATCGTCCACAGCTGCGAGCGTCCAAAAAGACCGCAAGCAGGCAGCCCCCCAGCCCGTTTCCCCGCCGCCAGCAGAAGTATCATCAGCCAACTTCATCATGGTCTCGCAGGGGCTTGCTTGAGAGGGTCAAGCCCCTCCAAACTCCACCTCTTCTACCCAGCAACAATGAAAGAGAAGCGGGGAGCCGAGCCGACAAGCAAGCCAGAAAGGCGTTAGCTCACCGTTGGCGTAGCCCATTAAAACCCGTGGCGTTGGTCGCGCCGTTCCTCCACCCTCGTCCGCCCGCTCAGCTCATCAATTGTCGTCCAGAGTACGCGAGCCCCGTACCTCAGCGTCGGGTTCACCTCGACTCGAGATAAAAGCCCTCACCTTGCCCGGGGCAACTTGATATCGCAGCCGGGCCAAGAGATGTGCATCCCTCAGGTGTGAGTGGGCTCCTGGTCTGCGCTGAAGGGACTAATCGTTGCTGGCAACCCTCACATCGGTAGCTTGGGCAATCGTGTGATAACGCGCATGAGCCGTCGCGCGAACGCCTAATTGTCCAGACGCCACAAGATGCCCGCCATCCCGCTGCATCGATACCGCTCGTTGCACTAATGTCAACTTCCCTAGCACGTAGCTGTCGCTGTCGTCGCTGGATCGTCAGGGGGCCTTGGGGATTGGACAACCCAGGAAGTTGTGAAGCCCGTCTGTTGGGACGACGAGAGTCTGGACCCGCGACGACGGGTGTGTCTCCTCATGCCACTAACCGTAGCGGCACAATCGTCTTTGACGCCATCTCTCTTTCATGCAGCAGCCAGTCCAATAGTTTGGTCCGCGACGCGTACGTAGTAACCTGACTCTGGTTACAGCGCCCCCATGAACATCAAAGGTTGAGTCGAACCAGGGCAAACCAACACTGGGCGCCATCAGGAATGGATGGACGAGTGAATGCAGCAAGAGGTCGACCAAGAACGGATATGGCTTCCCTCATGGATCCAGCTCCACTGCTGACGTATCAAGCATATCCCCCCGACTGGCCCAGCTCGTTAAACGCGCCGCCCGCTTGACATTGACACTGACTGGGGACCCCTTGGATCAAGGCCGTGGCTCATGGCCCAACCGACTGTGTGGGGGACCGGCCGAGAATTGAATTTCTTGCGCCCAACCACAAATGCTTGGTTACCAACGGTAACAAGATCGTGCGGGATAGCTCCAACGCCTCGTTGCATTTAGCCACCAGCCATTGCCTGTAAATGACCGTCGTCTCGCAACTTGCCGCCATCTTCATCTCCGTCACCTCCGTTTTCGTTGGGAGCGTCTCTGATCCTGAGAATTCCGTAGCATCCTCGATCCCCTCCCCGGCCGCTGCAGCTAGAGGATGTAGCCTGTGCTTAACCATCGTTTCCCCGTCAATGCGGGCCCGCGCTTCAGGAATGCCAAGAGACGCTCATGAAACGCTCGACGACGAAACTCGAATGGAGCACGGGGCACGGAACGCGAAACACTTCATGTCCGTCGTTACGTTTGACCACCGGCGATCTGTTCCCAAGTTGGCTATGCCCGCCAGCAACGTCGTTGCTGGAGCTGCCGTCCACTGCACGGATGGACCCTAGGATTTCGGCATGTGGGAGATCGGCTGCGTGGAACAAGGCGTACGTATGAGAGTAGGCGGCCCGAGGTGATTATTGTTTGCTCGATGAAGCTTCTCACTGCTGCGGTCAAGGGTTTAATGGGGATTGTTGAATCTTCAAACAATGAACGAATCGGATCAAGCACCTTCAAGGTTCAGTTGCCCAACACACAAAAAGTCACATGTCATGGCCATCATGTACATTTGATCATGATCTGGAAGGAGCCCTACACGATTGATGTAGGTGCCCAGCTCCTGCCTTTATTGGAAGCACAATATTACAACAACCGCAATCCTTGTCGAATATTTCATCACCAGGCGTCCCCTTCCATCATCTCCAACCAAACGGGATATTACAGATACCTTCAAATCTATCCATCTAGAGCATCCAGACATGGATCTTCGTAACCAAAAGAACTCCAAACCTACTTTCTACCTCCTCAGTCGGTGTCCAAGCACCATTCCAACAAAGGCGAGAACTCGGTATGCTGTTCCAATTGCAACCAACACGCCAATGTTCATCCATTTTCGATCCAACTCGAACCCAGTCTCCCGCGCAGCAATGTCAACCTTGTAGAGGTAGGCGAACGGGGCCACGAGCTGCCCAAAGTATATCTCGGCAAGCCAAGTGGCCGGGGATGCTCGCCAAAGCCACTCCATGTGCCAGTCCTTGACTGACGACAGGGGTGGTGCTGATCCAGACAGGATACCAGTAATGAGTGCAATCATGGTTGCAAACAGCGGCGCATCTTCTCTGCGGACGACCATGCTCACGATGCTGGCAAGGCCATAGATACAGTAAAAGTACAGCAGGTTGGTAAGGAACGCGAGACCCCAGTCGATGATGGGCACTGACAGTAGGAATAGGGGTGTCGTGAAATGGAGGCATCCAAGAGCCATCCGAGGCAGGACCGAAATCACCTTGGCAATGAAATACGCAAATCGAGAGTGTCCTGCTTCGGCCTCCCGTCTGTACAGCAGAGTCTCCTCAGAGAAGAGCTTGACTCCAGGGGCAGCCGCAACGAGACCAACAGCAATGGCGATGAGGAGGGCGAACTGCGGCGCAGAGATGAAATCGATGGCCGTCGACAAGACCTCGTAGGGTTCGTGGAAGATGCCAACAAACATGATGCCGTTCTTGGGGTTGTTGGCGAGTCCTAGCAAGGCTCCAGCGAGCACCGCAAGTCCCATCTCAGCGAAGAAGGCCCCCTTGGTGCGGTATTGTTGAACCATGGCTCGGCAAAAGCAGAGCCATGCTTGCTTGACAAATGGAGCACCGCGTTTCTTGAGGGCCTGACGCATGCCAGTATCACCCAGCATAGTCGATCGGACACTCCTGCGCTCGAAATCCTCGGCCGTTTTGGTCTTCCGCGATGCTGACCAGTTGGAGATGAGGGCCTCCTTGGAGACGTCACCTTTGGCGTTGTACTCTCGACCGTTTCCGGTGATAATATCAGTAATCACGTCGGCGTGATTGCTATGCTCAGGGAAATGAAAGCCCATGCCCTCAAAGAATGCCTGGGCCTCAGGTTGGGGCCCTTCGTAGATGGTCTGTCCGTTTCCGAGTAGAATGAGGTTGTCGAACAGCTCAAAGATCTCGGTTCGGGGCTGGTGGATAATGACGATGATGGAGATGCCGAGCTTCGCAATTGCCTTGAGAGTGCGCATGATGGAGGATGCGGCAGTGGCATCGAGGCCACTGGTTGGCTCATCAAGGAAGATGGCCATGGGCGCAGCCGCCAGCTCCATGCCTATGCTCACTCGCTTTCTCTGTCCACCGCTAATGACGGGCTTACCGACACTGCCGACTCGAGAATCGCGCACATGCGACAGCTCCAAGCAGTCGATGACAGACTCAACATGAGCTTCGATCTCGGCCTTTTTCCATGTTCGAGGAAGCCGGATACGTGCTGAGTGGACAATGTTTTCATAAACGCTCAACTCGGGCAGTACGATATCATCTTGGGGCACATAACCCGTCAACTTCTTGTAACGCTTCATCTTGCCTGGGGTATTGTTGACAGCGACGATACCGCCAGTGTTACTGGTTTTACCCATCAACACGTTGACAAAAGTCGACTTGCCAGCTCCTGATCCACCCATGACAGCCACAAGTTGTCCTTGCTCGATGGATCCAGTGACATTCTGAAGAACTGGTTTGACCGCCTTCTTAGGGTGGAAGCTGAGGTCAGAGTACCTGAAGGAGAGGCCAAAGTTTGTCGCTTCGGCTGCTCTACGCATCGAATCAACAAAGGCCTTGAGCTGCGGCGAGGCTTCTGCTTCCTTGTGCTGTTGATCAGAGCTATCAGTGCTATCCCGTGCCAGAGCGGCCTCGAAGCCATGGCCAGGACGACCTTCTCGGTGTGGCATGTCGTAGGGCGAGTAGGGCGCATAGGGGCTGTACGAGAGGTTCATGGGTGCCATCTCATTGTCTTGCCCCTCAGGCAGCTCCTTGTATCCAGTGATGGTGGCTCTCACAGCTCTCATGGTCTTGTGCCTCTTCAGGGTGCCGGCATGCGCTTTGGAGGTTGAGTGCCACCGCTGCCGGAAAATCAAGAAGAACATGCCAATGACAAGAAGGACATCGACAATGATCAGGACCACCAAAGGAACCATGAAGCGCTCGAATGACGATCCCTCGGGACAAAGGCTGCCGGAAGCGCAAGGCGTTGGCTTGGAAGCACCGGGTTGGCAGTATGAGCCCTTTGGACATGGAATCTTTTTCTTGCCTTCGTCTTCGAGAGGACAGTAGTAGCCCTGCTGGCAAACGATTGGCTCAAAAGGACCCATGCCTATGTTTTCGCCGTTGTAACTGCAGGTCATTTGTGAAAGTCGTCCGACTGTGCACATCTCATTGGGAGGGCATGACTGGGGGAGTGAATTGATGGTGTTGTTCATGCCTGGACTGATCAGAACTCGTTGCTCAAATGGTTGAGGGTCAGCAACTGGGACTTACAAAGAAAACCTTCTTTACAACCATCCTTGGTCCAAGACTCGACGGACTGTAGCTGCAATGGCAGGGCGCCAGGTCTCCAGCACGGCGCCGCATCTATGGGGAGCTGATCATTCAGCAGCTGTTGGTAAGAGCGATAGAAGCTGGTCGAGAAGCTGGACTGATTCTTGCCGGTGCAGTCTCGGTCGTAGACACTGAGCCTCTTGTTGTCTTCCAATGGCTTCAGTGTCCGAGTTCGAGTGTCCCATGTCAGTTGTTCGCCAGTCTTGGGAGGATTGGATGCGTCGTAGATGGGCAGGTCGTCGATGCTTCCCTTGCCGTTCTTGGACTTGAACCATTTTCCTGTTGTCGCGTTGTATACGACCTGGGTCTGGTTTCCGATGCATTGCCAAGCGGCCTCGTCACGCTCAAATCTCCATCCGTCTCCGGTGAGTTGATCGGCGCCGGGCAGAGGTCTCAATGCGCAAAGACAGGCTGTTGTGTCGAGGAAGGATGGTCCTTCTGGCCTCACGATTGGGAGGAATGGCTGCTGCGGTACCTTGGCTGGGTCAATGCCCCAACGCTCAAGAGCCATTGTGTTGCGCCTGGAGGGTGATGCTGGTTTCCCTCTGGGGAAAAAGAGTGTCGTTGATGTGAGGATGCGCTCACGAGATGAGTGATGGTCAACGGCAGTTCAACTCCCTCGTATCTCGGCAGATTTGGTAGAGCGTGGGATACATCTTTATACATGTTGGCAATTCCGCAAGGACTACCTCAACCGGAAACAAAACAACAATGGGGACACAAGAAATGAGCCCGAGAGTGTGAAGGATCATTCAGCCAAGATGCACTGCTGAGGCTATGGGATGGGGCCATTGGGGCTCCGTCGCTGGCACAGCGCAGTGCTCGTGAGATTTTAGTGCCCGCGAACTCCCAGGGTCCCAGAAGGCGAAGCTATTTCCAGCCAGCGGTCAACCATTGTAATTCCTCTAAACGCGGTAGATGCTCCGCCGATCTCGACCAGCCATGGCCAACGAGACGTGGTGGTGACCAAGCTGGATCGTAGCATTAGGGCTGAGCCGGGTCTAACGTATCACAAGCAGTCAGCGGCTGCACATCTCTCCTCTCCGACTAGGATGCGCTTTCAGCCCTTCAAGTTCATCTTTCACAAGCAAGATCCAGGGTCGAGGTCGCTGTCCCCACGTTCGTTCCCGCAGCCTTACATCAGCGGCTGCGGCTCTTATTGGTCGGCGCTCCATCCCGCCCGATAGGGCTTAGGGTGTGGCGCACTTTGACACGACGTCAATCCAAGGGTTAGGGTTACCTTAGACTGCGGTTAGGTGCGTTTTCTAGGCGCGAGGTCAAGAGCGAACGACGAACGACGACGCGAATGTCGGTGTTAATCAAATCTCACCTCACTTCACGGCCATGCCCGCACGGGTTTCAGAGAAATGACGTGACGTGGTGGTTTCGAAACTTGATGATAATCCACGCCAAGGCTAACTGCTGCATCTATGTCTTTTTTTTTTGCCTATTTCGGTCGTTATTACGCCTGCCAAGCAATCTGCCTTGTCTATTAGCTGAATCCCTCTCGATCCTCCCTCTATCCACATGGATCTCGAGTTATTTTTCTGTTCCCGGGGTATCGTATCTCATGCGTTGCACCTTTTTTCTTCCCTTCTAGCCAAGACACACAAAACTCATCCCAGCCATTATAATTCCTTTTCCGTTACAGAGCCAGAGGCCACCGGTCCCTTCTCCGACTTTTCATCTCCCGTCTCACCCGTGGCATTGGGATTGACCAAGCCCATCGACGCCGTCATCTCCTCGGCCGCCACCGTGTCAGCAGGTGTGTTGCCCTGAGTCCCGATGCGCAGGAACGGCAGGAAGAGGCAGCTTAGTCCCGCGAGTCCAACGGATACGAAAAAGGCCATTCGGTAGGGCACAGCTGGGTCGCCGCCATCGGCCTGCGCCTCCCCAACTGAGCTGTACACTGCCGTCGAAATACCAATGGCGACGGTCGAACCCAGACGAATAAGCATGTTGAAGATGCCTCCAGCCAATGATTGTTGGTGAATCGGAAGCGACTGCATGACGTACATCTACAAGTTTTGTTAGTATCTGTCCCTTGTCTCTTGAACCATCAGGATACCTACGTTGGTAACGTTGAACTGAAAGTCGGCGCCAATGACATTCATGATAAGAGAAGGAAAGATGAACGCCCAGTATATCGTATTCGCCTTCTGAAAGGTGAGGAGGAGGTTAGCGCCCAGGTAGGCAAAGGAGCCCACAGCCATGATGAGGGTGTTGTTGATGCTGTGGAGGATGCTGGCCGCCACCACGTTCCAGATGATGCCGGCGATGACCTGAGGCAGCAGGTGCACCGCGACGTTGAGGGCATCATAAGCCTTGACTTCCTGCATAAAGAGAGCGAGCCAAAAGTTGGAGGAAGCGAACGACATCATGCCGAGAATTGCCGTCAAGACAAGCTATTATTCTTGGTCAGGAAGTTGCCGAGAAGCAGCGGCAACAACAGACACGTACCAATGAGAAGTTACGGTCTCTCCAGACATGGAGAGGCATAAGGGGGTGCTCCCAGTAGCTCTCCCAGACGACGAAGCCGACAAGGAGAAAGAATCCAACGATAAGCATGGCGATGATATGCGCCGACTTCCAGCCGTCATCAGGGCCAAGGCTGTACACGAGTTAGTCCAACCTAAAGCGTGGGAAGAGAGACGTGAACATACGTCAAAGCAGCTGTAAACATGCCAATACCTGTGACAGTCAGGACAGTCCCAACACTATCGAACTGCTTCAGAGCTGTGCGCATGCGTGTCTTGAATGGTGTTGGTTCAAAGGCTTCGACGCTTGGAACAATCCAGATGGATGCAACTCCAAGGACGGCCCAGATGATGGATAGAAGGATGAAACCGGCCCGCCAATTGAAAATGCGAGCTGCAATACCACAGACTATACTACCCAGGGCAAATCCAAGAGGGTTTCCGGCTGAGAAACTTGCAAAGGCCCAGTTCTTGCGCTGCGAGGGCACTCTGTAGGCGGCTCCCAGAATGCCAATGGCTGGGGGCACCACCATGGCTGAAGCCAGGCCGAGTACTCCACAGAGGATGTCCATCCAGAAGGGGTTCTGGGCAAACGCAACGATCAGACAGCCTCCACTGAAGCATCCCATACCAAAGAGGAAGACAGCCTTGCGGCCCAAGAAGTCAGCGAGCTGGCCCAGCGCAAGCTGGAATGCTCCCGCAGTAAGCCTACAAGCGAGTCAGATGATTGAGAGCGAAAGAGGAGATATACATGTTCAAACTTACGTTGCAGCTGCAGCAATCCACGAGATTTGGCTCTGTGTCATGCCAAGATCCTTACCAATGGCTGCCGTAACAATAACCGTCGAGCCGGTCAAAAAGGTATTTGTCGCCATGGCAATAGTAGCCATGAAGACGAATGCAACCTCCTGAAAAGTATTTTTGAAGCATTCGGGACGAGCCCCCAGCCCCGACACGGCCTTGACCTCTTCTCCTCCGCTTCCCTCAACATCTTGAGCGTCGTCGACGTTGGCGGGTGTCTTTTCAGCCTCTCGGGAAGTGGGGGCTTGATGGCCGCCCCTGGATGCCGGATCGGAGGCCATTGTACCGGCGATTTGCTGCGCCGCCGGAGCTCGGTGATGACAAGAACCCGGAGGAGGACAAGAGCAGGGTCGCCGAATCGTCCGACTTTACTGACCTTTAGTCGAGCTGGCTTGTTGCTGCTCCGTCCGTTGGGTTTGATGAATTGAGCGTGCAGAGGAAAAGTGGGATGAAATAAGGTACTGGAGCAACCGCTGATATAAGGGCCCAGATGCCGTCCCCACTGCGGAAAACTATTTCAAGAGGTCGAGATCCCACGGGAGGAACTCCGAGACTCTCCCGAAGTCGGAGGCAACGAGAATCGGGGATATCTAGGGACAATGACTATCCTTAGGTTAACTTGTTGGATGCAAGGACACGATGGGCAAAGCAAGAAAACAAGAGGAAAACAAAATAAAAGACAAGGGAGGCTCGACAGTGTTGAGCACCGCCAAGTCAACTACTCCATTCCTGATGAGACTCTTGAGAAAAGATTTGCGCGCCAGCAACGGCAACTCTAACCCTTCTTCTCCCTCAGATCGACATTGAGCCTCCCCTCCCACATTGCCGAAAGTGGGAGCCGAAAAAGCATCAATTGCGTGCCTCCAGCTCCAAAGGCAGTCAGACTTTCACCTCTCACAGCCGCCTAGTTTCTCTATTATTTTGTCATGGCTTAGTCAATCGCTCGTGGCGCCGACTACGGTGGGGTTGCTCATCTCGATTATCAATCACTCAACCTCTGCCATCCCCATCAGCAACAAACAAGCACCCTGAGAGGTCAATTGAAGCCGTCGCAGAAGCAATGAAGGTCACGCAGGTATGAAGCAAAGTTCAATACGCCACACGCGATAAGATAGCCACCCTAGGAATCGTCACTAACAATTAATGCCAGATTTGGTTCTACCCCATCAAGGGTATCCGGGGAATCCAGGTGGAATCCGCCAAACTGGGGCCCCAGGGTCTTGAACACGATCGCCGCTTTATGCTATGCAAGGTCGAGGAGTCGGGCGATTTGACAAAAATGCAGCTGTCCAAGTTCCCCGAGTGCAGTCTCTTTGCCCAGGAGATTGCCGGCGACAAGATCCGCGTCAGGTACCTTACTCCTCAAGAACCGTTGGTTCCCTGGCGGCCGGAACAAGACACCGTTTTGGACGTTCCGGTCGACCCAAAGCTAGACGGGATGGACAGAGCCGACGTCAATCTTCATCAAAGCCTGGTCGTCGCATATCGCATGGGTCCAAAGTACGATGCATGGTTCTCTGCGTGCTTCGGCTTCAACACCGCCCTGGTCTTCATCGGTGACGGTCGACGTCCTGTCTTGGGAACTTTCTCACCTAGTGCCCAGAGATACCCCCAGTCATGGCCTTCGTGGCTAGCGAGCTATGTCGGGGGTTACGGGTTTTCTCGCACCGAGGAGGACTGGCTTGCCTTTTCCGATTGTGCCCCTTATCTCTTCGCTACGGAGCAGTCACTCAACAACGTTAGTGCCCGCCTGGCCGAATGCGACGTGGACATGCGAGCCATGCGGCCCAACATTGTCCTGGACGGTGAGATCGAGTGGGATGAGGACTTCTGGGCGCAGTTGTCCATCAATGGCGCGCACAGAATCGCCCTGACCAAGAACTGCAACCGCTGTACTTCCCTCAACGTTGACTATGACACCGGCCGTACAGCGAAGGGAGAGCGTGGTACAGTGCTCAAGAAGCTCATGTCTGACCGGAGGGTTGATGTTGGCGCAAAGTACTCGCCCGTCTTCGGCAGATATGGTTTCCTCGCCAGCAAGCCTGGAAGCAACGCCATCGTGTCCATCGGCGATCATGTCGAGGTTACGGAGCGGAGGACTGAGCGTACCGTCTGGGACTGGTCGCTGACGGATCCCGCAATCGCACGGTACTATCGCCACACTTCCGATGCCAAGATGAGCTTGCCCGTCGTGCTCTCGCTTTGGTTGACCAGCGCGGCTTTGCTCGGTTTGCTTCCGTGCTGGTTTTTGTTCTCCTGAATAGAGTCGTAGTATCAATCAACGTGCCACATACGCGTGATAGGTGCAGCGAATTCATTTCTCTTACAGGCGAGCGGCAGTCGCTTCCAGCATCATCATCCAACGCTTAAGTGACCATCCCGTCTTGGTAGGGAAATTCATCGACCTGCCCGGTCGCAAACGCGCAGTGTCCGTAACATCTCGGCCCGTGACGCCGGCGCGGTGGGGTCTGGGGGTAGATCGCAAACCCGGACCCGACACGGAGCGGCGTCTTTTCGGCCTTGCCAGTGTCCGCAAATGGCCGGAGAACAAGCGGAGGCGAGCAGAGTACTGCCTTGTCCCAACATCTGGAAACGTTCCATTACCCTGTGCCTGTAATTGCCGAGGCGTGACAAAGCGGTCCCGCGGGTCAGTTACACGGGAGCCCTTGGAGCAAGCAATCTGAGGAGTACGAAACTTGACGTGTCTGAAGTGACATGGAGTGTTCCAAGACGAATAGATGTTCAAGTCATGCTCGGGAAGCGCGAAACGGGGCGAGTCGAAGCGAGGCAAGCTAGCCACGGCCTGGGACGCGATGGACGGTCGGTGAACGAGGCAAAGGTTAATTTGTCGTCAACGGTCTTGGATTCGCAAACCTTCCTCACCTCACCACCCCCGGACTCGTTCCCCGATGGGTCCGTGTCGGCCGGGCGGGCGGGAGGTCGGATCCGGTAGACAAGGGGGGCGTGTGCTATGTGGTGATATGAGAGTTGTCGGTATGTTGCCGCCTCCGCCGTCGCCGTCGTGACTCAAACAATGATTCAGATGAATAAAAATTAATTAAAGAGCTCTCGATCACGGCAGCGTGCGCCTAGACACATGAGTGCTCGTGTGGCCGCTGAGCGCAACGTGAGCTGGTACATGGCAATTTGAGGTCCTTGTCTGTGCTGACGTCGATTCTCCACCCTAGGGCCCGAGAAGGGGCCCCAAAACGCTCTGTGGGTGAGGTGGAAACAAGCCGAGGCGGTTTCTGAATTTGTTCTGGAAGCCTTCTGGTTCATCTTCTCTTTCCACGGGTCCTCAGGCTTGTGGGTCGCTGGGGCTCGGGCTGGACTGGGCTGGGCTGGGCTGGGGGGCATTGGCGTCGCCGCCTCCTCGTGAAGCATTGGAGGCGAGAACTTGGTCGTTTCCTGTTCACAGCCTCGGTGTCCCTTTGTAGCGAGGGCGCCATGCCACGACACAAACACAGACGTTGACGTAGCCGCAACCGCAGCCGCAGCCGCAAGCCATCACCGTAGAGGGCTGGGATGGAGCCTGGGCAATATCAGCTCTATTCTTGCAAGTCTTGGGCATCTCCCACGTCAGGCTGACACCAAGGATACCTCATCGACCCATGCCACCGCGGACGTCTCCGCCTTGGATTGCATTACTCATGGTGCGAGTAATTCGGTCAAGAGAAACCCGAAGCGAGGGGAGAAGAGGGGAGAAGAAGGCGGAAAGGATCAATGATGCGACGAGAGATCTACACCTCAATAGGTGCGGCGTATGGCCCAGAGTCAAAGCCGGAAGCAACGTGACGCGGACAACGGTCAACGGAAGGAGCGGGGGGGAGGAAGTTGGGAACCTACTTACCTACCTGCCTGGGCAGAGAGCGAGCTGGCTAGGGAAGACCATCCGGCCAACAGGAGATTACAGGACCTTGGCTGTTTTCTCCAAAGCCAGTCGAGCTTTGATAGGTCCAGGCCAGCAGTCCTGGCCAGCTCAGACAAGGAGGACAGTAACTAAGTGTGATTCTGACCAATCGCGACTGACTTGGGGTAATTGTTGGCTGTTGACGGCTTCGTTTCCGGCACCGAGGTGAAGTGGAAGCTCCCACTTGGGTCTTGTGCCTTGTGCCTTGGGCCTTGGGGGGAGGCTTATGACGACCAAAGACGGGGGTCCATCTGGTCGAGACCCCCCAATCATGACCTCACCATTTCAACTCACAGCTCCACGCTTCACTCTTTTTTTTTTCTCCCTTCTCTCTCCTCCTCGGTTCAGAGGGAGAATTTAGTCACTCTTCAGGATTCACTCCCATGTCCATGTCCATGTTCACGTCCACGTAGCAGTACAGAAACACAATTGGAAACAAAAATCATGCCTAAATTATGACAACACAGACCAGAAAGCTAACAATATTTTCTTCTACCTTCTAGGTAGGTAGTCTCGCCCTGAGCTGAGCCCCCTTTTGTTTTCCCCATTTGTCTGGCCCGAGCCATAGTCTATTTCGAGCGCCTGCCCAAACACCAACCCGTCAATTTCATTTGTCTTGCCTTGCGCCGTAAACCAAACAGAAACAGAGGCTTAAACAACATGAGGCCATGACTGCGTGTCCCTTCCTTCTCCATACTCCGGTTGCCTACCAGGTCGCCCAAGCAGGTCTAGAGGGTACATGCCAAGCAAGTGAAGAAGTAAAGAAACCCAAAAATAGAGCAAAATCAACGCCATCCTTCTATGCGATGCAGCAACAACAAACAGCGCAGTCGACCCCAGGGACGAAGCGAACAAGAAGAAGAAAGAGAAAAGATCAAAGAGAAGATAAAACAGAAAAGAGACAAGAAACAAGAGCGCCAAAACATCCTGTAACACGCCAAACTTCCAGAAAGGGAAGCCTCGGAGCCGCACCATAGATTGGAGGAGGTGACAGGCGAAAACCGAGATGCTCTGGAGACGTCAAAAGTGCCCAGAAGCCCCGTAGAAGCCCTGTATCGGTCGGCCCTAGGGCCAAGCGAGTAGAGGCGTTAGTGACCACAGGGGGGTCACTAATGCTGCACAGTTCCGAAAACGGGCTTGAGGTCCCTGGAACTGGAGCCTCCCACGTGGAGCGTGCAGGGCACTACTCCGCCATGACAGTCCGAGAAAAAGTGTAAGTCATCCAATGCCACCTTTTGACCGAATCCCCCACCTGCGGTCTGGGATGAATCGAGATAGGCGTCCTTGGGCGCTTCTCCTTTCGGGCCCTTGGCGTCCAGACACCAGATTCGACCTGTTGGAGAATGTGGCTGCTTGAGATGCGATGCGTTGCGGTCCGGCGCGTTTCAATGCGTTGTCGTGAGGCTCAGCTCAGCTGTGCCATCCTCGCTGGCCGTGAATTGACACCCCGGCAAAAGTGACGTTTCGTGGTCGGTGATCGGTGCACGAGAGGGGTGTGACACGGTTTGGTAGCCGTACATCCAGAGCCAGCTCCGGGCTGTCGTTCCGTGCTCTGCCAAGCGCAATCAAAGGCCCTTGTTGAGACGCTCTGCCTTTGATCGCAATGTGCGCCTGCACCGAGACTAAGAAGGCATCCTTTTTCCTTTTGGGTTGAGCCTCGCGTCATGTCAGTCAGGCCACACCCGTCATTTGCTAGCACATGAGCAAAGAGTGAACGGCCCACGCACGGCAGAGAATCGCGCGCGCACTCGCACACCCCTTTCCCCCACGCCAGACACCGAGGATGCATGTCTCAGCGCCGGGGTTTTTTCCCGCAAGGGCTCAAGCGGCCTGCGTGCAAGGGCGGCACAAGTGAAGCTTGCAGTATGTGCACTCAAAAATCATCCAGTGAGGTCCGGAACGGCAATGTTGGCAAACCCACTGGATCAAGGTGCTATCTGACTTGATCATGCGGAACGAGTGGGCGCACGCGTTGGCCATTTTGTCGGTAATGGTGGCGGTTGTTTGGGGTGGTACAGAGAGGGTGTAGGTGTCGTCGGGAATGTCTTGGAGGTGCTGAACCCTCTCACAAGATTTGGCCTGATTGGGTGGGAGGAGGATCCTTGGGACAGAAATGTTAGCCTTGCATGTATATATATAACCAACTGGGGCACGACCAGCCATGTAAGTGGTGATGGTCATGGCAGCCTCTCAGTCTGCATGCTCGGTACTTACCAAAGGGTTAGTGGTTTTGTGTGAGTGGCAAATGCAATTGAGTGCAGTGAATCGATGTCGAGTGTTGAGGAGGAGACGAGGTGGAATTGTTCGAGGGGGAGAGGGAGAGCGGTGTGAATGGGTGATGGTGATGTGTGTTGATGGTGTTGAGGTGTAGAAACCGTTGAAGTGATCAAGTGATGTTGAGCAGTGATGGGAGGAGGAGGCCTTGGGCTTTTATGCTTTCAAAGAGGATCAGGTGAAGTGGTAGTTGCAGTTGCCGTTGCAGAGATGGATGTGATGTGATGTCTGCCGTTTGTAGGGCCGGGGACCGTCAAACGAGAGCCGCGATGGAGTCGGAGAGCCGGGATAAGGCTTGCAACAACATGGACAAGAGATAAACGACGGGTGATGGAGGCACGAGCGACGAGGCGGGAATGCCGAGGAGGTGTGCCAATGACAAAATGGAGTAGATTAAATGGCCCAGGACGCGAGGCAAACGAGCGAGGTCGAGCGTTGGAGCGCCAGTTCTTGGGTTGTTACAGCACCGCACCGCACCGCTCGGGGACGTTGTCGATAATATGTACCTGCCCTGCCAGGTGGACGGACAGGATGATGCCCGTGCCCTTCTGGCCTTGGGAGCCGTCAGTCATGCCAGTTGCAAAATATCCCGTCCGTCGGCCCAAAAATCCAGAAGCACTCCCAACCCCCGGTCTGGAAAGGATATGGATGCCTGTCCTGTGACGCTTCTGGAAGAAGAGAAGAAGGAAGAGGGGAAGGGGAGGGGAGGGGCGTAGGTAAACGGTTCCCAAGAACGGACCAGCAACCAAGCACAGGGCATGGTATCGTACCTAATGTGTACCCACAGACGCAGGTACCTGCTGCCTTTTGCCTCGCCTTGTTTGATCGCGCTACGGCCAATTACTTCGGACGGGGGAACGAGCCGAGCAATTCCCAATGGCAACGGACGAGGACGCCAGAGCCTACAAGGAAGAGCACGGGCAACCACCATCCATGGGCGGGGGATGGCGAACTGGTGAGGTGAGGTGTGGTTGACATGAGGTGAGTGTAGGGTTGAAGTCCCCGGGATAGGGATAGAGCCCAGGCAAGCCCCGAATGTGTCAAGAGAGCAGCATGGTAAAATCAGAAGCCGCCCA